TACTTTAAATCAGACGGTATATTTATCCATATATAGATATTTTTGGAAAGATGAATTCCACTCGAAGGATGGTGCGCCACTAATAGTGACGTTTTAAAAAGAGTGCACCAGTTTTCACTTGAGCACATTTGAACCGCGAGATATCATAGAAATCCACTCCCTAATTTTAGTTGATAAAATAAGAATACCCAATTATAAATTATCTAGATCAATGATGTACTTCACATGTTATTAATATCAGCTTTTGAAAATGAGTTTCATCCTAATTTTATTAATGGTTATCCATTTCACATTCTATTCACGAGCCATACATTTAATTAGAGATTATAACTGAAAAATTCTCAAGCGATCAACTTCGACTAATCTAGCGAGTAATGTGTCAAGTATTATCTTGCACAATGGTAGTTGGATGGGTTATTTTACTGTAGCTCGATGCAAGATATGATAAGTATTAGAACTAATTTATGAACTTTAAACATCCCAAACTAAAAAAAAAGATTTCCCTTTTAATTTCTTCAAGTCAAGCTGCTTTTAATCGGCTTGACATGCATAGGCCTCATTATCTGTCCATGTCATATGACTTTCTTTCTGTAGACAAGCACTTGAATACTTGCAAGAGTTATATGTATATTCAAAACAGCTCATAAGTTGACATAATGAAAGCCATACGAATGGGCACACTAGAAAAGATTATTGGAATAAAATAATAAAATCTTTCCTAATGTAGATGAAATAATGTTTCTTGACGTTGATGATGTCGAAATCTACTTGATTACGCAGATTTCCGTTTTCAACCTGCCTGTTACAAACTTCATTATTTAAGATGTAAATTTTTATTAAAAGTCGAATAATTTCGAATGCAAAACTGAAGAAAATATACCAAAAAGTACGCATAGCATAAAATTAAAATTAGTTTCACGCATCACAAATACCGGTTTCATCGTTGTAACAGATTACGCAATTCAATGGAGTATTTCTACCGCTGGCTTACAAAGAGAACAGACTTTAATTGTTAATCCGTGCAGCTCATAGTATTTTCGATAAACCGTACATGCGCTTGAGCAAGAGATTTAAGCATATAAATTTGTCAAATGGTCTCAATATGTATCCGTGTCACATAACTTTCTTGCTGAAGATACTCAAGCACTTCATGAGCATCGAAGCAAAAAAGCTCGACGACGGTTCAAAAATACAGTTATTTTAGTTTAGAAACGAGTAAATATGGTCGATGTCGTTCAATTTTCTCTTAAGGACTTATTCAAATTAGAACTAATTCAGAAAAGAGAACGAGATGTACACATAGATGCATTAGTAAAATCGATAAGTATATAAACAATCTAAAGTGATGATAAATTCATTGATATCACTGATTGTCTTACCATTAAGTTATTTGCTTAGTGTAGGAAACGAATTGTCACCATCGATTTAATTGAATGCTGTTGAATCAATCCGAATTAGCCTCGTTCATTTATAGATTGAAATTTTCTATTATGTTTGAAAGACGTTATGAGTAATGAAAGTTTACTGGAATGATTAAAAAGATTTATAAAATGAAAGCAAAATACATAACATGAACACATCAAACATTCTTAGTAGTTTATTGATGAAAAAAAATAAAGTTTAAGAGAGGATCCGTGGAACCACTTCGCAACTCGGCCGCCGGTAAAATTTTGATTTTCGATTTAACTATCTTAAATCGAAGGTCTACTCAAACCATAAGTGAATCAAAAATATTAGATCTTTCTGATGTGCCGAAGAAAAATGCCAGCGTTTGCAAGTTATACACCATTTACATTTGGTAAAAAAGTGAAGTTTTTAAGGCGTCCTTAGTATATTATGTTTTTCTCAGTTTCGGCTCATTCATTTGACTTCTGAAATGTCTCAAAAGATAGAGAAATGTTTTCTCTACCAAACCTACTGATTGATTTATTTACCCAGCGCCACATATAAGCAGATACTACCAATATACAAACAAAATTTTTGATTGGTTAAAATGAGGATTTTTCAGTATTTTGACTATAGCCACGTCGAATCATGTCATCCCAAATTAGTTTGCATATTTTCTGAAAGCCCTTTAAATTCTATATCTCCTATGGTATTGCTTATTTGGATAAAAGTTGAGCGAAAATAGTTAGTCTACACCACAAATGTTGGCATTGGATATAGTTACTTCTGTTCAATCGGATGCAAGATCAGCTGAGCATATTCTATATGATTGTTCAAATGGAAAATATGATTTCAGATTCATGATCAGCACGAAAATTTGATCACAAAAATATCATTAGATTAATTACAAAGTCATCTAAGCTAAAAACCACCTACATCATAGCAATAATTTAAAGAATGTTTTGGAATAACTACTGGTATGTCTATTTTATCATTAAGTCAGAGAGTTAGAGGTAAGAATTTTACTTTATTTGGAATCTCTGAATACTTAGCTTGAAAATCTGCTACAGAGATGGACGGGGCAGCTAAAAAGTCGCCTCGCCACCGCACCGCCGCCATCTATTTTTTAATACTGATTCCGCCACCGCCCCGTCTCGCCCCGCCCCGCTTGTAAAATACATTTTAGGAAGCAAGTATTGATAGTCACCTTTCATAATTTTTATTTTATTGCATGCCATCAAAAGGCATAGCCCAAATATACATACTTTCACAATAGAAAAATATAATAAAAATAGAAAGATACAATAATAATAATAATAAATGCGGAAACATCGGATTTGCATCCGATTGTTATGCGTATTTCAAAAAGCAAAAATGTACATCCATTTTTTTGTGTTCCTATTTCGTCGTAAATGTTTTATATCATGCACAGCAAAACTAGAAAGAGGAACGAATGGGTGCGTCCCTTTTCGTCCTCACTCTTCCGGACATCAGGTTATTTGACCGGATGTTCGAAATCGGATATAAAAGATAAAATCGATTTTCCGGATGTTCGGAATGAAAACCGTCCAGATGTTCGGAACGAAAAAATACAGGATGTTCGGAACATAAAGTGACAGATGTTCGGAATAAAAAATGACCGACGTTCGGAACGAAAACCTACAGGATGTTCGGAACATAAAGTAACAGATGTTCGAAACAAAAAATGACCGATGTNGTCTTATACGAAACCTTTTTCGTACGAAACTAAAAAATGGTTCAGAATTCGTTTCAAATCTCGAAACCATTTTTTAGTTTCGTATGATACCTTTTTTTTCCCAGTGTAGGCACATGTTGAAGGATGAATGTACTTTTTCTTTTATCAGTGTCAAAAGTTTTTTAAAAATTGTTTTTCAGTGAAAAATCACATTATCAAGTCTTGCAATTCAAATATTGACATGAAGACTTTCTTTGCATATTTCTACGTTGAAAAAGAGTAATTCTATTTTATATTACACTGAGTATTGAGTTGAGTTGAGAATGAAGAAAAATTTTCTTTCCTTTTTATTGTTTGAGTACCCATCAATAATCTGTTATAAAAGAAAACGAAAAAAAAGCTGGATTCCTCACCTTAATAGTCGTAAAAAGGCAAACTTGGGATCTATTTAAAAAAAATCAATGATAAATGATAAATCACATCAAATATGTTTATTATGAAATAGATATCGAGCACTTTAGCAGATTCAAAGATATTTTACAAGTATAATGTATAATTTGCTAAGATTTTTTTCGGTTAGGTTATGAAATCAATCCAATACATTTGCAGTTGTTTGACGTACTTTCATAATACAACTGCAAAACTCTAATAAAAATACACGAAGAATTCTTGGTATTTATGATATAAGTAATGAATGATATCATAAACCTTCAGTTGTTTTCTTTACTCGTGATATCCATGAAATATCAGTCAGTCATTTGGCCAAAGGCAAAGATTTTGTATGTAGAATATTAATTTTAATTCAAATGAACGATTGTTTATAGATATTCAAACGATGATAAAATTCACTAGAATAGCTCATTCAACGTATTTATTGATGTTTCTTATCTATCTAAGAACAATATATTCCTATGATCAGACTGGATTATCAACTGATGAAGGCAATGATGTAGACGTACACAAACAATATATTCGTGGTAGACTTCGCAACTATATTAAGTATAAGTCAGTAATTGATTCTGGCTCAGATCACGGTACACGTAAGAATATTATTATCTTTAGAATTTGAACTTATTCTTTCAAATTATTTGACTAAAGATACCCATGTAATAAAAACCGCATGAAAATCGGAGGTTAACCGCGGTTTTACCGATCCGGTTACCGGCTCCCATTACCGCAGAACGGATAAATACCGCGGTTTACCGCAAAAAATGATCCGACATTTACCGCGGTTACCGCTAAAAAAAAGCGGTTAACCGGTTCGTCTATAATCTTTGACAGAAAAAGTCTTCCAAATCATCAATTAAACTATTTTAATCATCCTTTTTTTTTACTTTTACATGTGATAAACATGAGCAAAAAACCGCCGGTTTACCGCGATTTTACCGGTCCGGTTACCGGCTCCCATTACCGCAGAACGGATAAATACCGCGGTTTACCGCAAAAAATGATCCGGTATTCGCAACATGGGTTGTCGATTATTATTTATTGTCTTGTTGCTGAACGTTGTTCAGTTTTTTTTGCTATATCTGCAACAATAACTTTTGGCTTGGCATTCATCCCAATTGTTCAACTTCATTCAATTAATTCACGAGCTTTTGAATAAACATCATCAGCTAATACTTCCAAAATAAACGATGCAGCTCATAAATCAATTATCTACAAATAAAAAATTTTTTTCGATTTTATTTCTCTCTTTAGACTGAATCAAACAAAAACATTATAAGAAAATCGATTTTTACCAAGAAACAATTTTTATCATTGTCTTTTCTTTCAATTCAACATGCAGAACGAGAAATAAAATTCAGTTTACGAAATAATGTAAAACATGATGTTTTTCTTTAACTCAAATGAATAAAGAGAAATGTCCTGTTTTTGTTAAAGTTTATGCTAACATATGGATAATGATTAATTTCTTTTATATTAGATGAATATCTTGTTGTTGAGCTGTACCATGTTGTAGTTGTTGTGAGTCGTGATAGTCACTCCAAACCGTGTACAGATACACCATGCAGAATAACAATGTAATCATATCTACTGTTGATGTAATGGGATGATCTTGTTGACCATAAGTTGAAAGTAAAGCAGTTAGAAAGCCGAGTATAGAAATAGCTAGTGTTAAAGCGTAATGGATGATAATACAATAAAGTCGATATGATGCCCTATTGAACACTGCACTGCTACATGCAGTAACTAGATAAACTAATAATTTAGTTGATGTTGTTATTAAATCATATGATGACCCTTTAATACCAACAACGAAATTTACAAATACGACCAATATAGTAAAAAACGGGATCAGCACGTGAGACATTAAAAATATCAGCATAATAATGGTATACGTGAAGTCATTATGAAACATGTTTTATATCTAAAACTAATAAAATAACATTGTTTCACTTTACAACGAGAAGATTTGGCAAAATAATATAAATTCTTTTCCAATTGAATGCATCAAAAATGAAGTTTTCATTTTTGAAATGGGTATATTTGTTGCATTCATATCATATGTGCGTTATACCGATAGATTTGTTTTCCTCTTCTACACATGCACAACAACAAAAAAACTATGTACATTTGTCGGTATAATGCACATATGATATGAATGCAACAAATATACCCATTTCAAAAATGAAAACTTCATTTTTGATGCATTCAATTGGAAAAGAATTTATATTATTTTGCCAAATCTTCTCGTNACCGGTAAAATCGCGGTAAACCGGCGGTTTTTTGCTCATGTTTATCACATGTAAAAGTAAAAAAAAAGGATGATTAAAATAGTTTAATTGATGATTTGGAAGACTTTTTCTGTCAAAGATTATAGACGAACCGGTTAACCGCTTTTTTTTAGCGGTAACCGCGATATTAATCAAAACCGGCGATTTACCGCGGTAAATACCGGATCATTTTTTGCGGTAAACCGCGGTATTTATCCGTTCTGCGGTAATGGGAGCCGGTAACCGGACCGGTAAAATCGCGGTAAACCGGCGGTTTTTTGCTCATGTTTATCACATGTAAAAGTAAAAAAAAAGGATGATTAAAATAGTTTAATTGATGATTTGGAAGACTTTTTCTGTCAAAGATTATAGACGAACCGGTTAACCGCTTTTTTTTAGCGGTAACCGCGATATTAATCAAAACCGGCGATTTACCGCGGTAAATGTCGGATCATTTTTTGCGGTAAACCGCGGTATTTATCCGTTCTGCGGTAATGGGAGCCGGTAACCGGATCGGTAAAACCGCGGTTAACCGCCGATTTTCATGCGGTTTTTCTTACATAGGAAGTTCAACAAAACGGTTGAAACCATTTAAAAAATATAAAGCAGCACATTGTTATTCATTAGTTTGTGCCTTCATTCTACATTTTTCAATAAAAAATTCTCTTTTTTAGCTGATTAGTATGTTAATAACACAAAGGAAATCATTTGGGGTATAATCGAGTTCATGAAATTCATTTGAAATTAATTAAATCAAAAGAAGCTAATTTTTCTCGATAATCGACTCAGTTTTGGCAGTACACGTAACAATCGGATGCCAGTCCGATGTTTCCTCATTTATTTTAGACTATATACAGCCAGAAAAATTTATTTTATATACAAAGTGACAAAGATAATAATTGAATTGATTATGGATTTTGTTGATAGTGAGACAATTTGATACGTTTGTGACTTCGTTTGATTTTTGATAGCTCACTGAGATCTTTGTCAAATAACACCTGGAGAAATTTATTGTCATGCGTTAATGAACATTTTTTTCTTTGTTTGTTGACCTGTTCGATAATCTTGGTCCAAGAGCGCGGATAGTTCTGCAGATTTACAAATGTAACGCTAGACAAATGGTCAAAATAATCGAGTACTGCACTAATGCAGTCAATGTTTTTCGTTTGCACTATTAGATGATCAACATGACGAGAAACCATTGAACTTATATCCATTATTCTTGGGGTTAAATCGTCAGCATATGATATCCCGAACGTATGAACATTGAATGCTTGTTCGAGTAACGTGTGGATCGGATTCGTCCAGAGAACATGAGTTTTAGAGATAAATAAATGAATTTCAGTTAACTGGGAAAGATTGATCAACGTCAAAAGATGTTCAAGTGAACCGAGCGGCCATTTATCAGTGATGTCTAGTGTGAGTTGAGTGATTTTGTAAAGATTGTGATAAATTAGTCGTTCATGCTAAATGAAAAAATCAAGACACAGTATTGTTCAGTTATTTCGATTTCTAGAATCATCTAATGGCCAAGCATACAAAAGAAACAGCTAAGAAATTTTATTCGGAAGAGACTGATGGATTTAGTTCATTTGTATCAATGCATCGCTAACAAGCATAAGATTTTCTCAAATTTCTTAGCTAGATATTTCTTAAGAGTACGTAAGTTCATAGTAGATAACTCAACTGTCCTACTTCTTATACTTTCCATCCAAATTTTTTTTCTTATTTGACCTATGGTAAATTCCAATTTTATGAAAGGATTCTTTTTCAAGAGCTGAGCCCTTGGATCTTTTTTTTCCAAATAAAATTGTTCTATCAATAGTGTTGATCTAGCGATTCTATTTAGCACTTGCTTCCATTGTCGAAAAAAACGTCTTTATGATATCCGATTATTTTGCTTGGGAGCTTTGTTATTCGATTGCTTAAGGCTCGATTTTTTAGTCTTCTTTGCTCGGTCTATAAGCAATTAACTCTACTTTTTGACTACGAGCATAGGATTTCTGAGAACCTGAATGATTGAGTTTCGAGCTGAGATTTTTTTCATAGATAGACTTGAAGGTCACTATAGAAATGCCTCAAAGTTTCAACCAGGACAAGCATGCTCTTTTCGAGACATCATCTTATTATTACAAGGTCGTTGTCTTTTAACAGAGCCCAAAACGAGTGTTTTTTTTACAATAACCGCATTTCGATAAGAATAGGTTTTCTCTATCTCAATTATTGAAGAGTTTCTGATGGTTATGAAACCGATCTATAGACAATTTCTAATCGAAACTAGAGCATTCAGGTTCATAGAGGTATTATGCTCATTGTACATCAGTAGGGTTAGATGCTTATCTCTCGATAATGAAAGACCCAAAGATCGAACCGAAGTAGAGTTTTTCACTATTTATCAAAACCAAACGAATAATAAAATGTCATGTAAAAAGCGATTTGATAGATAAAAATGTTCCCTCGTGAGTCAAATTCGCTTCTTGTATTTATAGCTATATCGAGCTCTTTTGTTGTTAATAAAGTGAATCCACTATCTCAATAGCTCATATATTTTGTATGTATAATTATCTGAATCATATGAGTGGCCTCTATAGAGTTATAAAGGAAATATTTGATAGTCAAAAAATGATATATTCAAATGTACAAAACTAGAATTTGTCTTTTCAAAAAGAATAGAACTTTTATTCAAACCTACCTCATTGAAAGGGACCGCAGTCATCATTTTAGCCAAATTTAAACGAGCACTCCATAGAGTATTTGTTTGTGCTGCATTGTGATTTATTGTGGTAGAAATCACATAGGATATTTTGTCCAGACAGCTGTGATCAGAAAGGTTAGTACACGAGTCTTTTGATGAATAGAGAATAATATTCGAGTGTAAGTCATCGTAGATGTATCGAAGTGTAACAAACCAGCGTTTATTTTCTAACCAGAAAGGTGTACGAAATGCACCAATGATCGATTCAATATTTTCGATAATTGCTTGGTCACACTCTTCGTTATGAATATAAAACTTAAACTCTTTCAGTAGAGGTAGCTTATGCCGGATTAACTGTTCCCATTGAGAGAAACGTCGGAGATACTTGAGTGAAGCGTTATAGCTCGTTAGTTTGAGATATAGAAGTGAGGGTAAAAGAGAAAGAAGTGATTCAATCTGATCTATTGACATGCCATCACTGTCCAATGTTAGTGAATTCAATTCTATGTACGAGTCTGAGAATGCAACTTCACTGATTTCGGTCATATTGCAATTGTTCAAGACAATAGTTTGTAGATTAGGTGAGTGACGAAGAATTTGATGCAACTGTTTATGAGTGCATACTCTCATAATCAACTGGCGTATTGTGCATTGATCTGGCCACACTATTGCATTCATTGTCGAAATATCAACATGTAGGACGAGACTACGAAGACCTTGAAGTGCAATAATCGATGAGAGCGCAGCTATAGTATCGGCACTCATAGGTTTTCTGTAATTTTCTGTCAACGACAGCGATGTTAGTGTGGGGATGGTAGTAATATGGTGCATTATGACATTGAGATCACGCTCTATCAGACCACACAAATTCAATGAGCGAAGACACATTAATTGATCGGTGCCAACGAGAGGGAAAAACAATTTTATTTTATTTGACATAGAGCGGTTGCTCGAAAAATTAAGCGACAAAATATTTTCCAATCGAATGCTTCGACGTATACGACGAATAATAGTCTTCGGCATTGCATCGTTGAAGTTAATTTTATACCGATTGTAGTTGTCGGCAATTGCACGAAATTGTGTGCAGACGTTTCGAAATGAAAATAAAATATCGTTTGTATCAAGCTGATCAAGAATGAGATAGAGAAGCTCAGTAGGAAGTGTGAGAGGCGACTCAACTTGTATAGCAGACATTGTTGAATGCTCGATGACAAATTTGCATCATAGCTGGGCTTTTTTTATCAGAAGGAGGAGGAATGGGATAAAACGTGAGTAACGATTTTTTTTATACTTGGTATTTCACAACCGTAAAACAACGTGTAAAGTATGTGTCATTCATGTCCAATAATGTTTTTATTTATAATATTCAACCAGATTAGATCAGATCATATAATTTTCAATTGGACTACATTAAATCGTTATTCCGTTAGTTTAGACTATGAAACTTTTCACATAGAAAATACAAGTATACATGTATTTGTCATGTGTCAGGAGAGTGTGTGTGTGTGGCGATAGATGAAGAAGAAACTCTAAAAAATAATAGGTTTCTTATCGAACAAGCGCTTCGCTGAAGAACTTTTAAGGTTTCGTAAAAACTTGCCAAACCTAAAAAAACATTCATCTAAGTCTGCGGAGTCTTCCCCAGAGAGAAAAGCCAAAACAATATCCACTTGTTGGCGATTGATACTTTGAGAACTTAAACACGAACACCTCATGAAGGGTGAGCTGATAGAGACGATATTGTAGAAATCTGATCAAAGTCACTAGTACTCAACCTCAGGTTTTGCATAGGCATACTATCGCACTTTCTTGCTTCAAACCGATATATAGCTCACTGAATAGAATTTAAAAAATACTACAAATGGTATTATTTTTAAATCATATAGACTGTTTCGTCAACATTTTGTCTAGATATGCAGAAAATGAGATAGGTGCGCGTGGGCTTACAAATAGTGACGAATCCAGAATGGTTGATGCAATGTGAGTTTGCTGTATCGTTTCTATCAGTGCGCATCGATGAAAACTCAGAAACCTTACTGTACTGTTTGCTTAGAAAATCAACTCACACATTTAGGGCAATGAGTTCCGTTTTCGAAAAGCATTGGACACAGAAGTTTTCATTCTAAAGGAAGGTTTGGATAGATTGGACGAACAATGTATTACTTATGTGCGACGTGAAAATAGTGTGTTCTCTTAGCCCTACTCAAGCTGTCTGTTGAAGAATTTCGAACGAATCTGAAGGAGCGGATTTGTTGAGTTTACTCTGCTTGCATCTTGAAAGATCAAATCTACCTTGTTTACGATGTACTTCAGTCGAGTTTTTGGTTAGGTACTTTCAATTATTACCAGTTAATATTTTCTTATTCAGTCACTTTAACGAATTATTGAATCATCCGACTACATGACTAGAGGTTTCAGGGACACCTTAATTGGCTGGAAAAGCGCAAGTGCCCCAAAAGTACTTTAACATGGTGATGTTCAATGTAGTAAATGTTGCCGATTAGCCTTGTTATACTTGTAAGCAAGTGCGATAGTAGAAAATTCGTGTTAAAACTACAGGAATCGTATAATCTTACAGGACGTTTTATTCCATTGTTGATGATTTATAATTCTGGATGAAGTAAAAACGTGCAATAGTGTGCCTATGCAAAACTTGAAGTAGTATACTAGTAAACTTGATCGGATCTCTGCAATATCGGCTCCGTTGACACATAGTAGCCATCGTTTATTCAACTCACAGATAGTATCGTTTGGTAGTATTTTTCAAGCTTTATCTCATGAGATGTTTCTTGGCGTTTAACTTAATTGTTGTTTCATTAGTTATCGTCGATATCTACTCAGATATGTAGGTCGTCTGCTTGTCTTTGTCGTGTTAGGTAAGTGACAGATGAGATGCCGCTAAAACTGTTTGACTTTAGTATCAAAATGATTAGCGCGTTTTTCTGCGTTGTTTTGTATATTTTTTGACGACATTTACGATGAAAAATAAAATGAACCGATATAGCTGCTTATGCAAGTTCCTTCTTTCAAGCAAAAAATAAAACAAAATAAAATTGAATTCCGCTTCAATGTTACTCTGTTTTAATTTTTCCATAAATAAAATGTACATTTGTATCTAAACGACAAAAAAAGTACGGATATACAAAAACAGAAAAAAGAAAAAACACAAAAACAGTAGATATTCATAGAAGATTCATTCACTGTCGTATAAATAGCAGACGGAACAATAAATTTATTTGTTGTTGTTTTTGATTTTCCCTTTTTTTTTAAACAATAGGACAGAAAGACAAGAAAATAAGTTAAGTAGTATATAGGAATGTATTAGTATATATATATATATATATATAAATGTTCATATAAACACAAGTCGATTTGCACCGAGTTTATGCCAATCAAGAATGAAAATAGAAAAATGAAACAACTATGTTATGATACTTCAGCATTAAATCGTCGATGAACAGATACTGGCGTCTTCGGTACACCAAAATGTATTGATAAACCAAGTAAATCATCTTGATGCGTACGTATTAAACATGGTTCGGATTGTGAGCGCTGCAAGCGTGGAAATGTACATTCAAATTTCGATAATGTATCATCAATCTTTAAGAGTAAAAATTGAGAATAATTTGAAAAGATTAATTTAAACAGAAAATACCTCAGGTGCAAAATTAGGTCGTTTCTCGTGATCAAATTCTGTGCATTGTCGAATAAGATTAGTTATTTCTGTTGGTGTATCATCACGACATTGTTCTACTTTTAATTTTAATCTTCCTTTTCCCACGAGCCACATAATCTATTCACATAAAAACAAATAGCTACTCACGAGAACAGTAATTAAGAAAATCTTTAAATTAAACCTGTTCTTTATTGCTTATTGGTGTATGAGGTAGTTTCCCACTAAACATTTCAAATAGAACACATCCATACGCATAGATATCAGCGCTCGTAGAATAACAATTGGGATCTTTTTGTTGAATGACTTCCGGTGCCTGTTGTAGAGAAAAAACAGGATTTCATTTTAGAATTCATTATCAAACAGGAAACAGAATATTTTACCATCCAAAGAACTGAGCCAGTTGGTTGAAATTGTTGATTAACGCTTTCAGCAAGTACAGTTTTAACGGCTGCTAAACCAAAATCACCAATTTTAACGCGAAAAGAAACTTCAGCATCATCTGGCTCATTGCACATATCCAAAAAGACATTACTAGATTTTAAGTCACGATGAATTATTCCACGATCATGTAAATATCTTTTATCATAGAAAAGAAAACATCATAATTTATTTTTGCAATCATTCATTTTATTAATTAAACTTACGACATTCCCTGACATATTTGTCGTGCTATGTCAATTAGCTGATTTATCTTCCAATGTCGATCAAGAACATGTATATGCTTATAAAGGGTTGAACCCTAGATAAATTGCGACATTTATTTTAAAAGAATTAAAAAGAACGTGGATTGTAAGTCTTACTTCACACCATTGTGTCACAATTGCAAAACGAGGAGTGAGAATATAACCATAAAAATTTAACGTGTTTTGATGCGTAATTTTTCTACAAGAAAAAACATCAAGTTAATTAGCGTAAAGCGTTTACATCAGAACAAACAAACTTTAATGCTATGACTTCATTTCGAAAGGCTTGAAATTGACTGGGTGTTGGTGAAACAAAATTTAGTTCTTTAAGTGCTACTAAACCTACAAAAAGCAATTCGTAATTTAAAGAAAAAAGCAAGTTTCTTTTTTATTCATTTAATCATACCATGCAATCGGACTTCTGCTTTGTAAACGCTACCATAAGTACCTCGACCAACCATACGTCCACGACTGAGTAAATCTTCAGCTCGAATTTCCCAGTCACTGATATGTTTCTATTATTTTTTTTAATAAAATTCAGTTTTTTTTTCGATATTTTATATTGAATTGTACTTACATGTGGTTTTTTAGTATCAATATTACCATCACTGGATGGTTTAGTCATACTGGGTCGAAGTATTTCTGTATTAGTGATAATCGGTCCATTGGCAACTGTAAAATAAACAGCAACTGATTAAATTAAAGAATGGATTCAATTAGAAATTTAGAAAAGACAGATTCAGTCATGATAGCCTTAAGAAGAAAAACTCATTGAAAAAGCGCAAGTAACCATAGACCAATATAAATAACCCAAAAGAGAGAGAGAGGAAGAAAAAAAACATATATTGAGAAATACGTTCCCAAACCCAGTAGATAGCGTGCCATAAGATGCAACGGTGATTTAAATAAGTCTTACGCAGCAATGACTGAAGCATATGATGCATAGGTGATCCGGATGATGACGACAATGATGATGATTGTTGAAAGAGTGAATTCGATGATAGTGGTGATGATATATTTGTCGCTGATTGTATAACATTAGAAAAATAACCAACATTTGATATTGTTGGTGCTGATGAAAGACCATGTGCATCCTGACTCATATCTTTTTGTGAACCTATCAACGGATATTAACAAAAATTCGTTCATTTTCTGTTCTTCTTTGTTTATAGGTATTTAAGAAGAAAGAAAATAGGAGTGCAACCATAATAAATTCCAAGAAGTTATTAGAAAAATGATTATAAATATGTTACACACCAAAAATAAATAAATAAATAAATAGTCAAATTTTTATATGTATAGTTCGGTTTTTTTTTTGAAAGCAAAATAAAACTAATAAATTGCTTTCTGATCTACCTACTCCGCATATACAGTAACCACTGTAGAGACGTTTGAAAATAGAACATAGACAGAGGAGAAAAAAGAAACATAACGTTCGCTATTATAATATCTACAAATACGATTAACTTACCAGTTCCAGAATTTATATTTATAATTGCTTTCTAGAATAAAAGTTTTACTTAGTTTATAAAATTCAATAATGAAAAACCGTGACTACGTACTGGTAATTGAGTGCTAGATGCATTTCGTGATTGTTGCTCTCTAGTTTTTATTTGTATTGTTCGTTCTATGTCAGATCTATTTGAACCATTATGTTTAATATGTCTATTGAAGGAGTAAAGATAAAATAGATAAATGAGTTTTTTTTTGGTTGGTTTTCAAAGACCATTTAAACAACACATACTCAATAATAGGATGAGAACAAATAGGTGCTTTCATATAACAATTGTTATGATAGTGATTTCGACATGAAACACAACGTTTATGAGTTCCACGAATATGATGTTGACAGACAACACAACAAACACCGAAAATATTAAAGCGAGCTCGTGGAATATTTTCCTAGAGATATTTAACATACACATACATCGAAAGCTTTAACAATAATAAAAGCACAAAAATATTTTTTAAAGCAGCAATATTTATAGGTAAATACCTATACAGCATATCTCTCGGTTCAAAATGACATAAATGAGATTTACGAATACATCGAGTATGTATACGATAACCGCATACAAGACATCGAAGTCCTTGGAATAATAATTTATGACATGCGTCACAATAAGTTAATGTAAAAAATGTTTTTCGAATCTATGAAAATATTTTTTTTCTTCTATCCAATTAACATACTAACTTAGTACTTACAAATGAGTGACTAAATTTTGTTTTTTCTTCAAGTTCGATTTCAGTTTCAAGTACACGATCAAGTGTTATGTCCCATGCACATGGTTGCCTGTTGAATAAAACAAAAATAATATTATTTTCTTTTTTTGTTGTTGAAATTATTCTCGATGAAGATCACCTTGATATCATGTAGACTGGTGTAAACTCTCTTAAATTAGTCACCGAATGTCGTGATGCTCGTGATTCAAGCGCTACTTCAAGTGTTTCATCATTACGTGGTGCAAGCTTAAGGTAGAAATACGTAACAATCAAGATATTAAAATAAATGAGATGAACTAAACTGTCTGCTTACAGCTGTTGTATGCTTATTTGGAAAATGAACACGAATAAAATTATTTGGTGTCATACTTGGACTTCGAGATCGTTGATAATTGTAATTTATTTGTTGTGATGAAATTTGTGCTTGTATGGGAGGTGTTGATGGATAAGTGTGATAGAATTTTTGTGTATCATTTGATGGTGAACAATCATTTATCTGTATGTCTTTGAAATTTGTTTGTACTGATGATATAGATAGTTTATGTTTTTTAGGAGATTTTTCTGATGGTGAATATTGTAATTGACCAGTTATTGCAGTTACATCATTCATAGATGATGATGAATATGCAAATACACATTCATTATTTGAATCTTCAACTTCATGAAGATATTCTGTTAATGAATCACGAGCTTTAGTTAATATATCAATACGATCAGTTAAACGTTGAAATTCCTTGATAGAGAAAAATAATAGATATTCCAGTTTGTTCGAAAGATAGTATTCTGTTTTTCTTCTCTCTTACCTGCATGTAGAATGGTGGTCGTGTTTCTCGAAAAGCTAAATTATAATTATTAACATCTGCAGTAAGATGTTTTAACATTTTCATTAGATCATCTAATATTTGCCGACATTTTTGTGGATCAGCATCATGTTTTCCGTCTTCGACTTTGTCGAAAATCATTCGGCGAAAAGTATCTTCTTGATTATTAATTGGTGATGCCGAACGTGGTGGCGTCGACGATGTTGATGAACAAAATTGATGATGCAGCGGCGTACATGTATCCATTGGAATCGTGCTGCTATTGCCGTTTGTCATACGAGTTGCTTGTAGAACCATAGCCATAAAAAATAGCGATGACGATAAGTCGATCGAAATTCACGATGTCTTCTATAAGAGAAAAATGAAAAAAGATAACGAAAAAAAAGAAAAAAGGAACTAAGTAATATATTCTTTTTACCTTTACATCGAGGTTTGTATTCATGATGTCATTGACGGATATCTATTTACACGTATATATATATATATCTATCATAAGAATCAAAAAAGAGAAATCAGTTTGACTGAGATAAAAAAAGAATATAGGCTTGCTAGAATAGTATCTGAAAATGCTTATTAATGTTGTCTCCTTCTTCCTTCTTTTTCTTTTTTCGTACTTGCTTAGTGTCGCAATTTTTTTTTCTCTTTGTCTAGTTTAGTTTTCAGTGATAGAATGTATGCTTATGAAAGAAAATAAAAGCAAAGAAAGGCCTAGAATATATGCAGATGTTTAAAACAAAGTCCGTGCATATCTCTTAAGTGTTAAGAGAAGAAGAAGAAAAAAAAAAGAGAGAAAGAAAACATTCGGTTTGATGAAAATCGATAGAGCACACTTCCAAAGAAGTGCTGGCGTCGTTATTTCCTTCCTACCTCATACTCAAATATCTGAAAAAGGTTTGGTGGTATATTTTAATTAAAACTACTATGACAGATTTCGTGTTTCATTTCTATAAAGTACGAACATTTTTTTCCATCAAAGTGACGAAAATAAATACGCACAACAATCACTATCTAATAATTCAAAATTTCATCGGAGAACAAACACACACACAGCGCCAGCTCGCTATTATTACGTAGAAAAAAGTAGCATTCTCAACAATGATTAAGTTCTATGCATGAATATATATTTTCTATAACAAATCTTGCTGTAATAAATATGTTTATTGTAACCATGTTGTTGTTCTTTGCAGGATCTAATTTCAGTTTAATGAATTCCATACGAACAAGAATAGATTATAAACACACATACATATAATCCATTGTGTTTCTGCACTTGCATTTTCTAATAAAAACTCATATGTAACGTCTTATTCATCGACTGTCATGAAGCGGCGTTTTTTTTCTCCAGTCATTTTTCTGAAACAATTAGTAATAAGTTAGCATGTTTCGTTCTTTTTTTTACACACACACATACGCAAAACAACGACAATTTCTCTCCGTCTTTTTTTCTTATTGCTTCATGCTCTATTATTTCTCTTCCTCATTCTTTTTCTTTCTTCTTCTTTCTCTTAATTGCACAACCCTCTCGCCATCCGGGTGACGACAGCAACATGTAATAGAACCTTGAACAGCTCGAGGGTCGCACAACAGCAACCATCCAGGGTTTTATATTGACGCTGATGCATACCCAAAAAAAAACACAGAACAGGACAAAGAAAAGAAAACATGTAGTACGCGAACACTGTTATCTTTTCTAGTTGATGGAGCTAATAATGCCCGTATATGACAGAAAATATGATATGATACCTGGAAAAGAAGAACCATTTGATTTATTTGACATGCAGAACGAAAAGAAATCAAGGGAAACAAAACTGCTGTTATAGTACTAGAAAAAAATACTTTCTTGATTTTTTTTTATATTAATTCTATGTCAACAACTTTTTCTGCGTCTATGTTTTATGTTGTTTCCGACAGGTGACAGTCTTGTGATAAGATGAGCAGGCAGTATCGAGTTTTAAAAAGAAACAAATCATGGCTATTAAAAAGGAAACAACAACTCGTGATAAACTACAATAAAAAGAAAACTCACGTCTATTGAAATGAAAATAATATTAATAATAAAGTAGAATATATACAATTCCTTGCAGTGCTAAATTCTAACCACTATTATTTATGAGATAAGATCACAGCTGAGCGAGTGAATGAGTAGGAGAGACAGAGAAAGAGAGAGTGATCAAAGAACTAGAGCAAGCTATCAGCGAGTAACCAAAAAATATTACAAAAAAGAAGGATTACTTATTTGTTCAAATGAAAACGAATGATTGAATAGAGTACCTCAGATGACGCTACCTCAAAGTCATCGTTTCTTGCTTTCTTTGTGTTTTTGTCTTAATCCCATTTCGAATAAATTTTGCTATGAGCAACATATTGATTTGTTTCACTGTTGTTTGAATAATAAATATGAAGGCAACAAGATCTCCGCCAAAAACAAGCGCGCATCGTGAAGTTTCAAGTGAAAGATCACATAGTTCCTATGATGCTTTACGGTTTTTACGTACTACGAATAAATGGGGTGAGAAATCCGATTCAATTGCTTGACAAGAAAGAACTATTGTTTTATTTTTATTTTAAAGATAAAGATTTTCTACCACCAATATGTCCATCTCGTTTTTCAAATCATAATGATTTCGAATCATCTTTACAAGAGTTCTACTATGAAGTTGTTGATATAATGCCTGACTATGTTGATCATGTTCGTAAAGCTTGCCGTGTTATATTCGATGATGTAGTACCACGTTTAAGAAAAAATCGTTTTGGTATTGTCCTTAATGATCCAATTTTTTGTGATACTTTTTTTGAAAATTTACAAGTTGTTCATATTCAACGTATTAATATACTTATACCAATTACAATTCGTCCAGTGGAAAAAGAACGTCTAGAAAAGATTGGATACATTTATTTGAGAATACCCGGTGCTGTTAATGATGAAGAATTATCACGATATGATCCATGGGGTTTTATGAGATCCCGAAAAGATCGACAGTACTTATCACCAGGTGTACTCGTTCAATTGGTTCATTCACTTGTTGACGATGCCTTAAGAGAACCATATCCACTACAACATTTCACTCTTGAACCACTTGATCTTGATCATGAGGGGTCCGTAATTCGAATTCGTCATGAAGAACTCATGTTTACTATATGTTTATCATTTGGTGTTAAAATTAAAAAAACAGATCCATATTTTATTACGAAACCATTCACTCTCGATGATTATTTTCAATCGAAACGAGCATGGCGTGTATCATATATAGAAGCTGAAATGAAATGTTTAAAAGTTCTTCATCGTGCTGATCATTTTCGTCATGCTCAAGCAATTAAAATATTTCTTGCTTTAGTCAAACTCAATCGAATATTTTCTGTACTGAATGAAGACATTATAAAAGCTCTTATGGTTTATATATGTGACGATGATCTTACGAATCGAAATTGGAATCGTCGTCGATGTAATGAAATATTTTGGTCATTATTTGATTTACTTTATGTTTCAATTGATCAGCAAGTTCTTAAACATCCATATTTACCTGAAATGAATCTATTAGAAAAAATTGAGCGGCCAAAATTAATACGCTTAAAAAAACATTTAGATTATATTGTTGAACATAAGCATGAATTTGAAAGATTTTTTAATCGTCGAGTACTCAGTTGCAAACGAAGACGTAATCAATCAAAGAATTTATTTGCTTTTTTTGGTTCATCAAGAAATGAATTACCTAAAGATGACGACGATGATGATGATGATAATAATAATCAAAATAGTGGAACATCAGGTGATCAAGAAAACTATTTGGCTGTTGAAAATATTCAAGCAGTTAAAAATCAAGATAGTTAATGATATTCATAAAAGTGAACAAATAAATTCAATTTTCGAATTGTTTTTCTATTCTATTTTTTTAATAAATGATTTTATACGTTATAGATAGTTCACTTTTCGAATCAACCAAAACTAAGTATATAAAATTTTATGAAGACAATTTATTAGAAGAAAATCAAACTGATGTATAGAACAAATCAATAAGTGTCAATGTCATGTTGCATTTGCAATTACATCAGAAACTGATATTTATTTATCGGTTAACTAAAAATCATCTAGCTATGTTAATCCCTTACACATTAGACCTTGACAAAGACTATTTAGTATTTTATCTGTAGTGAAATAATCTGAACAGAAAATGGTACGCAGAATATCAAATCAACAGAAGCACTCATAAATAATAGCATATGATAATGTCAGATGTTATCGAATAAATGCCTACGCGACACGAATAATAAGGTCATAGTAATAGAGCAATTTTCACAAAAAAAATATAGTATATGTATGATCAATAATAATAGTAAGATTATATTGATATGTTAATCGAAGAAAATTATGTCATTTATTTGTTCACTAAATTTTCGCATAACAAATCTAGTGTAACACATAGAGAATACTTCATTGATACTTTCAAATATCGAATATGAAATTAATCGTTATTCTACAGTATTATATTGATTTATTTCGTAAATCATACTATGATCATATTGATTCAATCTAATTTACACTGGACGTTTCACATGAATATTTGTCAAGTACGAGTAAACTTGTACATCAAATATAGATGCGTAGTGTTGTAATTTACACCTAGGTTATGTAAATTATCACTGTTGAATATTATCAAAATTTCAAATGAAGAAAAATAAAAAAAACAGTTTTCCATTGAAATCAATTAGTTTCAATTTTCTAGAATTATTTTTTTTAATGTTTGCCATTATTTTTCTCACATGAATCCAATATTCACATCTATTGTTTGAGAAAAACTAACATATAATACAATATACAATTCAAATGCACTTTTAGAAAATAAGATTGTCTAATCCAGTGTCTGATTCATAACAAATTTAAGATAATATTTTATTCTGCATGCAGTATATACTTTTTTTTTATTGACGTTGTTTTTTTTTAACGTTATTTGTTTTATAATGGAAGAATAGACAGAAGAAAAGAAAAAAAGGATAAACAAAAGGCAAGAAAAAAAGTCTGTATAATGTTAGTCATCTGTAGAATTTTTCTGTTTTGTTCAAATATATGCGATCTCTCTCTCTCTCTCTCTCTCTCTCACTATATATATTTATATATAAAATCAGAATAGTGTGTGTGTATATATAGAATAAAGACCGTAAATCGTACTACATGTTAACAATGAAATAGAAAAAGAAAAGACAGAACAAACAATGATAAGTCCAATCGATGATAGATTTTCTTTATAAGCACACTATGTCATAAATAGGGGAAAACGCAAATAAGAATATAAATGAGCACAAACCTGAGCAGTTTGATTTTGCTGTTTGGCTTTATACACCCAGACACACATACACACACACACGCACACACACAAAGAGAAACTCACTCATTAGTTTTTTTTCTTGGCGCATGTACAAAAAACGAGGAAAAATTTGATGTGTTTAAGTACACAAAAAAAAAAGATTTTTTTTGAAATTTGTGTTTAAAGAATTTCTTCACTTGAATCCATTGGTTGTATATCTTGCAGCGAACTTTGGGATTGCATTTGACTATTATCATCTTCTGTAACGGACGATGCCATATCTTCCATGCCAAGTAGAAGATCTTCATCTTTTGAATAAAATTTGTCGGCATTTTCTTTTAATTGGTTATTGGCACCTTTAAATAAAACAAGAAGATAATTCATCCAAATGACAACAACAACAACAAAAAACAGAATTTTCTATACCTTTTGGATCAAGATCCATACTCCATGACATATACATATATGAATAGTGGAAATTTTTCAAATGTCGATGAACCTTGAATAATTCAAATTTGTATCGAATGTTTTTCAATAATAAATTTAGACCTACTTTACTAAGTAAATAGTAGACAAGCGATTCTTTAGGTGCGATTTGCCGTAGTTCTTCAAGTTCAATCAATGCTTCTTGATATCGTTCAAGATGTAATAAAAGACCAGCTCTATGAAAAATTTAAATGATCATTAGAAGAAAAAATATTTAATCATAACTATTTCATTAATTTACTTATGAAATTTGCATAGAGCATTTTTAGAATCAATTCTAAGTGCATCATTAAGTAATGTTAATGCACTTTCAGATCGATTACATTTATGTTGAGCCTAATAAATAGATTAGTTAAAATCAAAATCATAATTAATATTAGTTGTTTTCATACCACTGCTAAATGACAAATAAGATCAGGATTTGTACGAAATATATTGGTTGCTTTTGTAAAATGAAATTCAGCTGATGGAAACTTTTCTTGCTTTAAATAAACCATAGCTACACCATTCCTACACAAAAGCAACATATAGTTGTGGAGAAAAAATAGAAAATAATTTAAATTAATTTACCAAGCTTTATAACTTCGTGGATTTAATTGAATGGCTTTACGAAAGCATGCCATGGCACGTTCAAGTTCATCAATAAGTGAATATTCATTTCCCAATAAAGTATATGCATAATCAGATTCCGGCGCCAATTGAATAGCACGTTTAAATGCTTGTATTGCTTTATCATATTCATGATTGAGACTAAGACAATTACCTGACGCACACCAACTCTATTAAATAAAATAAAAAACAAGGAAATTATTAGTTTTATCTCATTACCTCGATATGAGGAAATTTGATAGTAAAAAGAAGAAAAAGAAAATTATATTTCAAGTAAACAGAGAACAGCTGATTAGATATCTTTCTTCTTTTTTTTTCAAAATGCTGAAATTCGATCTTGTCTTTGCGATCAAGCGTTGGTTTAAATAAACTATTATCGATTCACTCTGTTTGATTTTCTCTCGATGTTATACGTGTAAAACAAAAAGAAAAAAAATGGTAACTACTACATCAACATCTACTTCAATTGGAACTGGCTATGATGAAATCTTGTCAACAACATCTACCTTAGAAAAAATTGATGCTAGCAAATTAAAGAATATTGATAATTCTATGACCAGTTATTTATTAGCTATATTTCCTTTATATACATGTGCTATTTTATTGAATTTTTTAACAATTTATTCAATTCTAATGGCAAAAGTGTATCGTCAATATTTATCGAATGTACTATTGGCTGTTATTTGTATTGGAGCATTAATTAATTTAAATGGTCAAATATTTTTGATACTTATGCGATGGGCAATTGATTCATCATCGGATCAACTATGTTCAATATCAATTTATCTTCGTGATAACGGTTCTATTCTTATTCAGACGCATATTTTATTCTTAGTTTTCGAACGTATTCTTGCTAATTTAAAAAAAGATTCAACAAATTTAAATAGACCATTAATTCAAAAAGCTCATCTTTTTCTTATCGTTGTATCCTTAGTTAGTATCATACTTTCATTAACTGTTCCAATTTTTACATTAACACATTCTGCTTTTTCACGCGTTAATGGTTTATGTGCTCCAAAAAATTTAGCATCTTATACAAAATATTTAACTTGGATTTATTACGGTTTTGGTCATCCGTTTGTGTTGTCAGCATGTGGTTTACTTGGTATATTTCTTTGTCGAAAAACAACAATATCTTATTCAACATTAATTCCAATGAATAAAATTGTATTAATAATTAGTTTATCAAGTTACATTGATCTATTAATACGAACATTATTTGATGATATTGTTGGTGTTAAGAATCAATCAATATCAAACAAAATAGATGAATCATCGAGAAAACTATTTTTCTCCATGAATTTACGTGATTCTATATCGATAGTTGATAAGATAATAATTGGACTCGTATTTTTTCTTTTTCGACCTGAAATTCGATTATGGCTTATGGAATCGGTCAAAAAATTTCAATCCAACAAAAACGAGATTATGATACCACAAATGTTAGACATACGTAGTGAATTAGATGATAATTATCATGAAACCGATGATGCAAATATTCATTTTCCAGCAGATACTTAGGCGAACAGAATAAAACAAAACATAAAATTAAATCATTTCTTTTTTTCTTCTTTCTATCATTCGTTTTTGTTTTCTGACTTTATTTATAGAACTAAATAAATCATACTTACAGCTGGATGTTTTCGATTTGTTTCAGTTAATTCATGTGCTAATGTTGCTAACGCAATGTCATCTTTTAAATGCCAAAGAACTGTACTATAGTATTCTAAACCATCAATATGATATGGAAATTTAGTACGTAATTGTCGATAAATAAGAGAAGATTTATGATAATCATGTAAATGATAATAACAATTTGCTAAATGTGATAAAACCCATGGTGTATCAAGATGTTTCAACGATATTGTTTCGAATATTTCAATAGCTTGTCGACATTCAAATTGAGATAAATGTTGAAGACCTTGACCAAGTAATTTAAACACATTGATAATATTTTCAACAATTTCTATAAGATAAATTTAGAAAGAAACAAAAAGAGAATAAATTTCATGAACTAGAAATAAACAAACCAGGTGTACGATAATGATTCGATTGACTTTTTCTTTGTCGATCACGTTTATTGAGTAATTCATTGTCAGCAGCATAAGTTAAACTTGTATTACTTGATCGTACTTGTGAGCGTGTTGTCATTTTATTTGGTGATTCTGCTGGTGCTACGGGTGTTGTTATACTCATATCTGCGCATGGTGGACGTGTTGTGGGCTTACTAAAACGTGTAGTACGTTTAGCTGGTGCGCGAATCGACTTATTTTCCTAGGAGAAAGAAAGTAAAAAAAAAGAAAAATTTCATTTTAAATTGAAAATTAATTCCAAATACTTTAATGTCATTGGAATTTGGAGTTTGTGTACGACTTCCGACTGTACTACTTGGAGTTCTAGAGGAAAATACTTCGCTTTGTCGAGAAGAAAAAGACATTATGAGATTTTTATTCCTACGCTTTTGATTGAGCAAGGACATTATTCGAGGTAGAAAGAACATGAGATTGACCGATTATAGTACGACGAGTTGTCTGACAATAGAGAATAAGATGTTTCGATTTTAATTATATAGTACGAATGGGTTAGAAATGTTTTAGAATTGTTCTCAGCATTTAGGAAGCAAGAAAAAAAAACATTTTACACTTACTTTTCGTGTACCAATGGTTTTGCGTGAATCACCAAGTGATGTTGATGCAATTTCATGTCGATGTATAAGTGCTGTTGTTGATGCTGAAGCTGTTGCATCATCAAATCCATATTGTTGTCTTTTAAAATAGACAAAAAAAAAGAATATCTTTCAACAAAAATAACTCTACATCAATGGCGGGTCTTACACGTTTCGAGTATTTTGTCTTTTTGGAGCTAATGGTGGATTACGTAATGAAGGAATATAATCAGGTGGTCTTATAGTCGGTGGAGTATATTTATCATTATCTTGTAGTTGATCGGCAATTAAACCAATTGGTGTTGATGTTATTATACCAGAAACATTATTTGAGCCAACGTTAAGAATAGAATCAGTTAATTTCATAATAGATGCAGGTGCTTGTACTGAACGTGGTTGTTGTCGTTCTCGGATTGTTTGATTTGCACTTGTATTCATGGACTGAAATAAAAAGAAATGTTTAAAGAAATTAAAAGTTCTATCTTTTTATTTTTAATCGACGAACAGTATCAATAGCTTGATTTTCACTTTGAATGTCTTTTATTTGTTCAGTGTAAGGTGTGATACATATCTGTGGTTGACTGGATTCTGAGATTGACCGATTGGCTTTTATAGCAGATGAACAAAATATACTTGTATCAACACGTTCGCCTATAATCACATAGAATGATATTTAAATAAAAATTATGAAACTAACGAGAAAAAAAACAATAATGACTAGTTTGATGTATTATATATAAGAAGATTTTCATAGTCTAATTATTCATGTAAGATAAATGCTCTTCTTTTCGTATGAATTGTTTCAAAACTGAACGCATGACAAAATAATTACTGAGGGTGAAGAATGGGAAAGTGGTTTTTCTCTCGCTATAGAATGGTTTCTATCCGATTTCATGGTTGTTTTATTTATAATAAGTTTGTAGTCCTTAAAACTGGATATTCGACCTTCAGTGAAGTTATGAGTCATTCGTTCAGAAGAAAAATAATATATTGGTCATTATAAATATTATTTGATGTCTAAGATTTAGTAATGCAACGAGGTAATCGTTTTCTTTCTTTGTTGATGTTATACTATTAGAGCGAAATTTTTTTCTCTTAATCTATTAAAATTCAGTAGTTAGTTGCTATCGAATTTGACAAAATTGAAAATCTTAATTTTTGAAATATTTACCAAGACGGCATAGTGCTTCAAAAGAGGACCATAAAAATGGATTATGCTTTAAAGATTTTCGATAGCATTCACTTGCTTTTTGATGACGATCCGATTTCCTATACAATCATTAAAATTTATGATGATGATGATGATATATTCTTTTATTCAAATATGAACTTACTCGCAAACTTTGGCAAGTAACTGTAAAGCGAATGCTGCTTGATCGCCATGATCATGAACAAAATCGTCAAGCGCAAGTGTATTTATCGATAAAGACCCACCAACAAGTATTGATTCAGCTTCATGAAGTCTAACATAAAAACGTTGAAAAATAAATTTTCTTGTTTCTTTCATTTTTCCTTCGTTACTTACTTTTCTGTATCAAAGCAACATTTTGCTAAAAGAAGTTTTGCAGCAGGTACATGTTCAATAGAAGAATTACGTAATAACCAATAAGATTTATTCACATCTCCACTTAAATAATAGGTACGTGCTAATAAATAAGTTGATTCATCATTTTTAACTAGAAAGAAAAAAAGAACATATTTCGAATTTCTCTTCTATGCAACAACTTTTAGTTTTTACCTTCAGCGTAAAGACGTTCAGCAAGGAAAAGAGCATCAACATAGTCGAAATTATGAATAAATTGGTTAATATAAACCTTAACGGAATCGATTGCGATGGACATTTAATTGTTCGGAATAGGATGAGAGATGAAAATTAATAAAAAAAAATAAGAACGTCTTGGTTGTCTTGTTACCGAATAATCAAATAGTAATTAACCTAGACATTGATAATAAAGAACAAGTTTTTTTTTTCTAAAAATAAATAAAACATTTAAAGCATAATTATTTTATCAATATCACAGCGATAAAACAAACAAGCACAGATAATATATGCGCATTGATCACCAATTTTTGAAAATTATCAAAAAAGAGTATTACTCGTTAAAAGATTACATTTGTTTTTGGCTAAACGAAAGCAACAAAAAGATCTGCCCACATGAAAAAATAAATATTTAAACGATTTCAAAACAGAAAATAAATTATCATTTTAATTTGAATCTGAAAATTTTTGAGTTTTGATTAACTGACGACGTTTACGTTCATAAGATAAACGATCACAAGCTTGTTGAATATTCATAAATGTCATTCCAGCATTATGTTTTTGTTCGGGATCCTGAACATAATCAATGAAACTATGTAGCTAAGTATTTTAAATGAATTTGTACAAGAATAAATTTACTCGATATCTATCTGGATGCCATTGACGGGATAATGTTCGACATTGAGATTCGATTTCTTTTTGAGATGCAGTCCTACTGATATTAAGTACCTAGAATATACAATAATTTGTCAACATTTATCTCCCTCATTTTACTGGTTAAAAAGTTGATTTATCGATCGAGAATCTTATAAGTAACGGCACGGAATGTTCGTCTTACTTTTTAGAACACTTCCTCATACCGCTAACACTATGTTGAATTCATTTCTTTACTCACTCTTTTTGCTTATCTCCGTAAAATCTACAAGACTACCGGCTACTCAATTATCAAGAAGATACTTCCTGTTTTATGGAAACATTCATGAATACATGAAAGCGTATGTTTCTCACATTGAACATTAGAAGTCAAGTATGCAGCAGCAATAGATTGAACACTTTTCTTCTATAACATTGCCATGATCCTTTCAAGGTCTTTTTTGACATTTTATTCCGGAACAAAGGCTTGAAATCAAAACCAAATGGTATTCTATATGTGCTTTTGTAAAATCATGTGTTTCAAAGATCGACTAATCCTAGGATAGATTTATTTGCATGTCACTAGATGTTAAGTTTAATTCTGACCAATTGATATTTCAAGATTCTTTTAATTTTAACAAGACCACAATACTAAAGCGTCTTTACGAAATGCATGTTCAATGGATTTCCACATTTTTAAGTGGAAAAGTTTTTCGAATAAATGTTCGTTTTCGTATTCAGAAAAATGGATTAAAAGATAAAGACTTTCATCGAGTAAAAATTGAAATTTCAGATATACAGCTTTTACTGATTCTCCACAACAATCCTTTTGATTATCCTAGTCGACTGAAATAGAGTTTGTTCTGGAATCATCTGTACGTATTTTCTATAATGCAGATCAATCCTATATTCTATTCTTTCTATTGGAAAATTAGTCCATTTCATTTAAAACTGCTTCGTGCATTATAGCAATGATACTACCCTGTTTAGAAAAAGAATACAGTTGAAATAGAAAAATTCTCAGTCAAAGATACAATCATAGATATAATTGACCTACATTGAATAATTGATTATATTCTAACTTTTAAAGTAACTTCGATAAGAAAAACCTATCATGAAAACATAAATCACCTGTGTTCTAAATGCAAAAATGTCTGTATCTAATAACCCTAAAACTCTATGTTCAGTAAACCGTTGAATAGTGTGTCCTAGCTAGAAGATAGCATCGCTCCTTTTTTTTAATCTTACATCAGTTTTTAGTTAAACTATCGATTAAAGTTTATTCTGTGGAATAGAAGGATACTTAAGAATTGCTTTGAGTATCAATTTACACAATTGTCATTCTGTGTTTATTTTACCAACGATGAGAAAAATAAAAATAAAAAAATAATCAATATTTCACTATATTTTGATTTCTATCATGATCATATTTGTCAAAAACAGTTTCTAATTTATTTTAGATATCTTAATTCTTGAATTCTGAAGATTATTTCAATAGTTCTATCAACAATAATTATAAGTTCTACTGTCTGTAAAATAGTTGATTAAATTCGAACAGATTCAATATCAAATAATTCTTAATCGTATTTTTTCCCATGTATTAATGTGACAGTAAAAAAGAAAACGTCATGCATGTTATTTTACCTTAAAAGCTTGTTTTTCACTTTCCAAGTCAAGCGCTCTCCAAATATATCTCCATGTTTCTTTAAAACCATATTGAAAATAAAATGCCCATAATTGTCTTGCAACCATTACAAGTCGTTGACGTAGCAGTAAAAATTCGTTCGATTTAAAAAAATCAGCTATAGAATCTTTTATTTTAATACGTCGGCCATTTACATGAACTTCTAAATTTTGATAAATCGCCAAATTAAAGATTGTACTAAATGCAATTGCGCCAAGTCCATATATAAGGCAACGCTTAAGAATATGAGATCGTTTCCGTTTTATTTGTTTTGATGAATTCAACGATTGATGTGCCATTAGTTTTGATGCAGTTATATTATAAAAATATTCTGAATTCCATTGAACTTTTAATTCAAAAACCAGAGAAGACAGCAGTGCAGGTAAACTAAAGGATGGAGACGAATAATTGACCCATGCTAAAAAGAGCATACCAAATACGGCACCTAGTAACGGCCAAATAAGTGAACATTGACGCGGTCCAAGGGTGCCCACTAGTTGCGTACCTAATAAAAATAAAAATAAAAATGTGATAATTGCTCAGATTGCAATCTCCTAACCAAGGGCAACGGCAATAGTCGTACAGCATTGAATAATACTTGATAAGAAATAATTGGCATGCCATGTATCAGGAAAAGCATAATAAGTAATAAAACCATAAAAAATGGCTGTAAGATATTGTGCTTAACAAAAGAAAACAATCATAAAATAGTTAGATATATTTTAAAATTTTTATGTATGTCACTATACTCGACTGTAATGAAAACATGAAAAAAAAAATATTTTCATGTTTTGCTAGTATCTATTTTAGTTTCTACCATCTTGAAAAATCTATTCATAGTCATTATTTTTCATGGGAGTTATAGTTTTTCTTACCACATAATCTTGAAATTTCAAACGCTGGCGTTTTTCTTCGTATCATTTTGAGTCTAAATTCATTGATTACAGACTCATCATTGTTTGCTTCATGCACATATTTTTTAATTAAAAATAAGAATTCATAAACAAAGCCAAAACCAAATCCACCGAATGTTGTAACCCATAATAAAGCATGCTGAGTACGACCCAAATAAAGGTGATGTAAACCAAAAAAACCACCCAACAATGAAAATATATATGTTAATAATAAGCTTTTATTCTTAGTCATTAAATATCACTGAGTAATAACAAAAATTAATATGAATATTAAAATTGAATTAAAAACTAAACTAGAATAAAATGAAAGGATCCAAGGTGAGAGTTATAACTCGCCTTTTTCTCTCTCGAGACAAGAATAGAGTAAATTTGGACTAAAATAACCGACTGTCGCTATAGTTTCTGTGAAGATTTACATTGAAAGTAGCGATTTGTTCTAGGGTATTCTTCATTATTCATGATTACCTACGACATCTGATAATGTTTCGAAGTCTAATGCAATGAAACTAGATTTTAGTAGATGTCACACAACTCGATAGAACGAATAAAACAAATTCATAAAATAGAATTATCAACCGTTTAATATGAGAATGTCTGTTTACGATAAGTTTTTAAAATTAAACTTCCGCATAAGTAAATTTGTTTTAAAATAAGTGATACTTAAATCGAGAAGCCACTTCAATGTTTCATATTATTACTTTTATGTAATACGAATGGCATGAGACAACGTTTGAACTAGTTTTCAATGCATCTTTTAATCAGTTAGAAATCTCAGGTTCTTCTCAATAGGAAATTTCTTTTTTCAAATGTGCGATTGAATTTGTTGGTTTTCAAACTAATCACTCTAATAGAAAATTTCGATTAGATGATATTTACTTAGTATTATTGGAAGTACTTCTTTGCCTAAAAGAGAAAAAATACTTATCTTTATTCAGAAGAATATCTTCGAACGCTTATTCAGTGCATTCTATTAGCAAGTGAAGATCATTAGTTTTCATTAGATTTTGACGAACTGATGAAAACTCAATTTTTAAAAAGGAACCAAAAAAACAATTTCCGTTTGAGCAGCCCTTATCAACTTTAGAAGAATTAAGAGCTGGAATATTTTCGTTTTGTAAAATAAACCACTCAAACAAATATATCTGCTCGGTGAATATTCATCAAAACACACTTCCGGTAGTTTGTAAACATAATTTGATATCAGTTTAAATGGTCGAAACAGAATAGAATTTATATCTTGCCATCGTAATTCATTAAAAAATATTAACTTTTTGCTTCTTACTATTTATATCAGATCTCTCATAGAGAAAAAAGTAAATCCATCATGTGAAACAGAGTACATCGAACGACAGAGTGGTACACAGGCTTTTTTTTTGTAAAAAAATTCTCTATCGATAAATACCAAGACAGCATAAATTGATGATTATACGTATATAGTGAAAAAAATAGCAAATCAATGCGGTACCTACAACATTAAAATATAAAATGCAATGGAATGGCTTTAACTATTATTAGAGAACTCATCGTCTGTATGAAAAATCTTGCAAAACTTAATAGAAAAAGAAACGCTTTATTTTAGAAACCACTAGTTCGTAAAAGATCTATTGAAATCTCTATCACGATTTACTAGTTGGTTATTGGCATATGATTTAATTATGATAAATAGATTTTGAAGGTGAATGAAAGTTCGTCAATATATTTTATTCAATCGAGAACAACGGACATTGATAACTAGTAAGAGATGAAAAAAGAGCGGGAGAACAATATGAATATGAATAGATAAAGAAATGGTTGATTGAGGACAGCAGTAAAAACATTTTCATAGCGAAGTGAATAATTTATTCGGTGAAGAACATTTTAATGAGAAGAGTATCGATGACGCCGAAAAGTATAAAATGAAGAGAAAATTATAGTGATGAAAAAATAATTGTATCTAACAAGACAATAATGTGTTACGATTGCAAAAAAAAGTTCAAAGAAATACAAGAAAGATTGCAGAGATAAAACAAGAAAGAACCAATAAACATTGTTGAGCGTATATAAACTGTCACAAGAGAGTTTTTAGGAAAACATAGGAGAGATAGATGAAATGTTGTCATCATAGATTTCAACAATTAGGTTTCATTAAAAAAGCTTTAATGATATGAAATAGAAGCTTTGAATAATTTCTGTAGTGATGGAGGAATAGGTATTATAGCAAATTGTTGTAGGATCAGAGCAATAGGAATTTACTTATGTAAGCCTGATAGAAACAATTTAGAACGGTGAGCAGAAAAACCTCTACCGATTCGTACATAACAATACTCCTCAAATAAGATTCTTTTAGTATAAAGTTTGAGGTGAATTTTTTTCTTCTTCTAATAAACATCATACAAGTTTTGTTTCTATGCAAAAATATATTGACAAACTGCTCTGCACTAGATATGTCCACTAAAAATCAGATTAAAAGATTGTTAATTGAGATTTTACTTCTCCGAGGAAATCATTCATGCGAAGATAATCTCCTATTACTTTCATATACTTTTAGCTTTGAACAGTTGATAACAATCGTATGGATGGCTATAAAATTGTCTCATTTGACTTATTATCACTAAATAACTTTTTTCTTATTTCGAAAACACACAATCAATGATATAATACTATGACAATTATTTATATTATACTCCTCTTATTAATGATGATGATTGATTTTAAACGAATATGTATATGTCTATATATATATATATAGCCATCTATTTATCCAAATCGATAAACTCCTATGATTTACTACACACAGTGATCGTTGAAATGAGATTCTCAAGCTCATATTTCTTTGATCGTAACTTCCGATATTCTTGATTATGTCATTTTTCAACATTTATTATAGCACAGTTGAGTTCATTCATAAAAAATTCAATTAGCACTTATATATAAGAATTTATTTCTAAAAAAAGAACGATTGACTTTGTAAAAAGATTAATATTTATTTAATTAAATTGATGTAAATAATATTCTTAGCTTAATTTATTATTATTTTATTTCAACACTAAATATGACCTTTTTCTAATGCTGGAAATTTTTTATTAACTTTGTTAGTAAAAAAAAAAATTTGTCGTGTGTTTTAATAGCAATTGAATTTATTAACCTCATTATATATTTTAAAAGATTTATATACGTAGTTTCATCATCACAATAGGGGGTAGCAAAGCAATTTAGATAATGTAATTTTTTTTTAATATTACATAAGAATACATTGATATTTAATACTGATCAACTTTTGAAAATTCCAGTGTTCAATAGACTAGATAGCAATAAATGATGAATTCTATTGACCAATAAAATGCAAAATACAAAGTTAATTGATCACCAGAAGTTCAGAAAGACTTTTTTCTTCTTAACATTTGAAAACATACAAGAATCTTTCCTATGTATTGTAAATCAATTTGAAAATAGAATGAATCTTTCATTCTATATACATACATAAATATACAACAAAGCCTAAGAAAACAAAAAAAGGTGATCACACAATCATGTTCAACGATTCATTTGTTCCAATATGTACTTTATCAAATTATTATTCATGAGACCTTAAAAGCACATAAAAGAATAATTGATTCGACTTAATCTTGATCAATGTAACCATTCATATTTTATTGAACAATCAACAACTATTTTATTCTCAAAACTAATGGTTAAAGAGAAACAAAAACAAAGTCATCATTCATATCAGATAATCATCATGATCGCTTTGATAAAATAACTAAATTTGTTCAATTGTGACAAAAACAAAGTAAGTCTTTCATCTTCCGCTACCCATATATATAGGTGCATCTATGTATATTTAGGATTAGAATCATTAATGGAACTTTAGGAGCGATCAGAGTAGATTGACTTTTATCGTTTACTTATATTCATGAAAAGTGTAATTGAGTTTTTTTTTCTTTCTTCTCTTCATCCGGATCATTATCATCATCTATCCCTTTTGGCAAACTATGTGTGAGTGTGTGTGTTTGTGTGCATACGTGTGTCAGATAGTATTAACATATCACGATGCGCGAACGCACGCGTAAACGTATCTTTATATGTATACATACATACATGCATATATATAGAGATACATATATGCATATAGTCGAAGGCGTTTGTTCACGTTTAATTGTAGATTATCATTCCGACGCATGTGAGTGAATGGTAGGTTTTGTGCTTCTTTGTGTCAGTATCATTACAGCAGACAAGCGAAGAGTGAAAGAGAGGGAGAGAGACAGAGAGAGAGAGACAGAGAGAGAGAGAGAACGAGAGAAGAGAAGAAAAAAAAACTCATTTGTAAAAGGATTACGCCTACATCACATGCACATTTTTAAATATAAATCAGTGTGCTAGTGACACCGGTTCAGCCTGAAGCCTGCTGAAAAATACGATTTCAAGGTACACATAAATACCAGAATACCCTCTGGGTTCTACGATGCTCTGTTTCATTTTCTTATCAAGTCTATTCGACGTAGCAGGTAGGCTGCAAGAAGCATGAGAAAAAGCGAAAAAAAAGTGCACAATGCCATCATGATGAAGTATTGTCAAACAAAAGAAATTGAAAGAGCATTTGACCCTTATTTATCAAGAATATATGCCGTCTCGTCATCGCCGTTACCATCGTCGCCACTATCGTCATGTAATATGCATTCTCGTGTAACGTTGCTTTTACATGCAGGTGGACCCAACACGATTGTGTGTGCGTGTGTGCTTAAAATTAACAAAATGAGAATAAAGAAAAAAGGCGACCGCGTTCATAGTGAACATAGTTAGTTCGTTTGTCTTAAATTAAGTATTCTCCTTGAAAGACATTTTTCTTTCTTTCGAAGCTGTAGTTAAACAAACATCTAGAATATTTAATCGGAATTGTAAATATCTTTCATGCGATTATACTCGTTAGGTTCTCCCTCCTTCTTCATTTTCTTTTCTTCAACTTGAATTTTAACATCGTAAGACATCTTGTATATACACATGTCTATACTGGCTTTATTAACACTTGACAGTTAGAAAATGAATGTGCTGGGCTTCTGTCCAGTCAAGTGTTAGTTCGAATTTTAAGATAGAAAGACATCACCGTTCAATTTTTAAAAAGCTCCTAGAGCCTACTTCACATGTTGTTTTCTTTTGCGTGAAAAATAGTAACAAAAAGAAAAAGTCTAAATAAAAAATGAAGTAGAGATCGAAGACGCAAGAGAAAGAAAGAGACAGAGCGAAAGACAGAGAGACAGAAAGAGGGAGGGAAAGAGGTCACACACATTTTTGCTACGGTGACATACATATATAAAATATAGGCAATTTAATACGCATAACCTATTTAGAAGAATAAGAAGATGATCAAAACCTGTAAATTTTCGCTGCTGGCCAAATAGCCCACTTCAATTTCTCGCTATTTCTACACTTACTCTAGGTCTATTCAAGGTACTACTATTCATCACCTGCTATCGATGTACGCATAAAATCTAAAACACGTCAAAATTACATAATCGTTTCAATTTCATTTCGTCGCTTGAACTCGCCATCTTTTCTCTCCTGCCCATTTTTAACAGTATACAAAGCATTCATTCAACCACAATCAAATGACAACACATACAGCCACAACGCTTGATGACTGTTCTCCTCATCGTCATCAAACATTGTACAGCAATCGAATTTATGCTCGTACAACAACAGCAACACGTTTATCAAACGTAAATCGACCATTTCATTCTTATTTAAAAACATTACCACCCATAAATATTTGTGAAAATCTATTATATGGCGTAACAATAGCTGGCGATGTCGGATTAGCTACTCCATCATCTTATATTAATAGTAGTGAACATTATGATAATACATTTGCAAATACTTACGATAATCCAATTGAATATTTTGAAAATGTAAGTTTATTATAATATTTATGATGAGAAATTATTATTAATAGTTTTTTTTCTTCAAAATATTGTTTTATTCAGTATCCTTCAAAATCAATTGATATTGTGAATAGAAGTTTGAATAATCTTCCACATTCGAAAGAGAATTTTTATGATCATACAGAAGCCGATCGTAATAATGAAAAATATTCATCCGATACTTCTCATAGTACATCACCTGTTTTTTTCTATTTGGAAAATAAAAACTTAGCCATATGTGCATGTATCATTTCACTTCTTTTACTTTTACTTGTTGGTCTCGGAATTTTCGTATTAAATAAACTTATTCGTCCCGTTATTATTAATACGACTGTTAACAATCATTACGGTATAATGAATACGACGAATACAACAACAACAACAACAACAGCAGCAAGTTCAGTAATGGCATCTCGTTCGATAATTTCAAAGTCACTCGTCATGCCTTTAAGACGATCATCTATAGATATTTTAACAACATCGACTACTACAAAATTAAGAGACGATTTCGATTTTCCGTGTCCACCTAAGCGCTGGGGAAAAGTCTGCGAAAATATGTGTAAACCATGTGGTCTCGGTGTATGTGATCCGATAACAGGCAATTGCATCTGTCCAGAAGATTTGTATGGGGAATTTTGTGATCTATGGAAAGGTATCTATGCATTTTATTGCGAAGATTATAGTAAAATGCTAATTTATTGTTGTTTATTTTTAGTTAATGATAAGCCGAAACGTGGCGATATGATGAGTTGAATTTGATTGTTGATGTATATATATTTTTAAAAGAGCCTATTGTTTTTTTCTTTTGTATGTCAAAGAATGAATAATTATTAAAAGAAATACCATTATGTGAACGAAATGTGTTCAACAACAACATCCGCCCATTTAATAGTTTCTTTAATGATATGTCTATAAATTGTAAAAAAGAACAAAACTATAGCAAATCTAACATATTGATTCACAAAAAGAAATGATTGAAGTTATTTAATATAAAAAAAAACCAAAACTACGTCCCCGGTCAAACATTTTTATTCATGCGCTTGTAAGACTTGAGCTCAAGATGTATCCATAGTTCTTGACTTTCTTGCTCAAGACAAGTGCTTGAATGTTTGCATGAGTTACAAAAAAAATGCAAGTATAAATTTTTATAATAAGTTGAGTTATTTTGAATGTAAAATTGAAAAACAAATTGAAAAATTTCTTTAATAACAGAAACGCTTAGATAAAAATTCAAGCGCATGAGCAAAAATATCCGGCAGCATGAGCAACAAGTTTAAGAACTTGAGCTCATCAAAAGGCCTCATGTCTTGCCTCAAGATGTGTCCATAGTTCTTGACTTCTTGCTCAAGAAAGTCAAGAATTGCATGCGCTTGCAAAAAATGCTATGACTCGGGGTATGATCATTCATGTGAATGCATAATTCTAATGAATCAACTTTAAAGGAATATTTCTGAAAGATATTCGTATCGTTTTTTATTATTATTGTATATAAATATTTCTTTTGAAAACGAGATACACTTCAACGTTCTTTTTTATTATTTAATTGAAGAATTGAAAACGTTCTCAAACTATTGTAAGAAAAAAAGCGACGATCATAATTGTTCTTCTTTCAACAGTGATGTGTCTGCGCATAGGTTATACGTTACTCCCTATTCATAGATATCACAAGGTCTAGTATATGAAACTTATGCATGCATATGTAGCCGTATATTTTATACGATTAGATGTATGTGTATGTATGGAGAGAAAGAAATCAAGTGCCATTCAATTATAAAAATATTTCTTTTGTGAAGGGTCATGCCTTATTTAATATTTATGACAATATAGTGATAATTCATCTTAAAGTAATACTTCATTACTCAATACAGTCTCTGAATAAGATCATTGTTTGAAAGATGTATAATTGTGCACTGATCATAATTCTAGATGTCAATAACTTGCCTATTATAAAATATGCAAAATCAAGTGACTCAAGGTAATCGGAAAATGAAAAGTACTACTCAAATTTCCAATACAGAGTTCAGGGTGATTTACACGATCAGTTACATATGATTATAACATTGGTTGGTTGCTCCGTATGCAATATTACATTTTTTAAAATAGATTTCACACCGTGTCATTCACGTCTTGTAAAAAAAAGTAATCAACAATTGATCATCTACTTTTAAATCAATGAACCCATTCGAAAGCTATCGTGCATAAAAGAATATGATAAAACAATAAATCAATGACATATTTCATTAGATCGTCCTGCATTTTTCATCTTTAGAAAATAAAAAATATCTTCAGGATACTGGTTTGAAATTAGTAAATTATAAAATGTTCTACGATGTATTCCTATATTTTTACGTGTCATTTCAGTACAACAACGTTTATTATATCGATACATAGGACAGGCCATGAATTATGCAAAAAGACTGATTTTACTATTAACAGTATTATTGAATAATTTTAAATAAAATCAGCTACAAACAAAAATCTTTTTTTTTAACGCTCTATACATGTTTATGTGCGTACATATACGTTTGTATAGACGATTAGGCGTAAATGATAAATTTTATATTCATAAAAGAAGCGTATCTTATCGTAATGATCGAAAATATTTGAGTTCAATACTACAGATTTCTTGTGCAAACAATTATGTAGAACTTCAACAGTTGATTTTAATTTATATTTTCAATGATTTTAATTATTTTGGTATTAACTAGTTTCGATAGTTGAAAGAACGATAAACACTCAGTGAAACAACCTTGCTTTTTGATGAAAGCGAGTAAATAAATATGAGAAACGTCAATCGACTAAATGTTTGTGCGTGACGATATCAAGACAAGCACACTTCGGAATTACTTCATATAACCTTCGTTCATATGCAGTAATGGTCCAACAACCTTGTTACTTGAAGGTTTTTCTACATTTATTTATTTGCTCTCATACACCTTTTTGTGCACATAAACGTCTGCTGTAACAAGGATGTTTTCTCGGGTAAAAAAATTTATTTAGATACTGACAGTTACATAGTTTAAAGTTTTTCAATGATCGGCAAGCGTATATTTGTAAGCGACATTCCTTATAGGATTGAAGGCAAGATTGGTCATGGTCTGCACAGTATTGTGTATGGTGCTCGTGATCTCTACAGTGGCGAATATGTAGCTATTAAAATTATAAGTTTTGCTTCTGGATCAGCATCAAATCAACAAGTATTTCAGAAAGAACTTGATATGCTTTTATATTTACAAGAATTAAATTCGTATGTTATTCGTGTATTTAATTATGATTATAACGAACGTTATGGAGTCATTGTTATGGAATATGGTAAAACACTGCGTGATACTTTCGTATCATACGTTATAAGTGGTACACGAATGCCACCATCTCTTATTCGTTCGTTTTGGTCACAAATGATTCAAGCTATTTATTATATGCATCAAATTGGAATTGTACATGCAGATTGTAAACCTGAAAATTTTATTCAAGTTGGTCCAGGTGGAACAAGCTTACGACTTATTGATATGGGTATCAGTTTTCAATTGCCGTCAAATATGACTAGTCGTTTACATACTGCTGCTGGAACACCAGGTAAATTTTCATAGATGTATCAAGAAAATCAAAACTTAACACATGGGTGTTTCTTTTTTCTTTTTATTAAAAAAAAATAGATTATGTATCTCCAGAAATGGTTAATGCGCGAGCCGGTTTAGGTTCTCAATCAAAATATGGTTATAAATCTGACATATGGGCACTTGGTATTATTCTATTTGAAATGACATTCGGTTTTCGACCATTACAAAATTTAGGTGGTAATAGAACCAAGTTAACTTTTCTAGCCCGACTAACAACAAGAGATATCGTCGTACCTAACCATCCTGATACAGATCTGTACGATATAATTAGATGGTGTTTAAGATCCAATCCTCGTCGACGTCCAACTATTGAACAGATATTGAATCATCCATATTTGACAAGAAAACGCTAAATTGAAAAAAAATATATAACTTTGCATTTATTTCACGTGTCATATATGTTTCTCTTTTGGTTCTTTTTTTCTTATTTTATATTCTCATTATTTTAAATGACCTATCTCCATTACGAAAACTAACTGACTCGTCATAGATTGGTATGCTATATGCTCAATATATATATATATGTATATATGTATATATATATATATATGCATGCGTATGATGTAATATATATAAATGTGTGAAGCAAGAATAGTATATCTATAATATAAAAAAAAAGAAAAAGAAAAAAGAGAAAACTTCACTTGATGATTGCATTACTCCTACACTTCTTGTTTTGTCCAATATTGCTCTATCACTTACTGTCGTTTTTTAAATACATTTGTACATCATCTAGCTAACCGCGATACTGCATCTCACCTTTTTGCTTATTTTATCACATTTGTATTTGCATGCAAGGCAGACGAAACTGTTCTTCTTCGTATTGTATATACATTTGAATAATAGAGTGACTACTGAAATTTTGTTGACAAATTTTTTTTTAAAGTCTTAACATGGGTGACGTTATGTTGCCAGGACGTCATTTAAATTTACGACATGGATTATATAAGATTGATGGCATGCTTGGTTTTGGTCTTCATTCTAAAGTCTACTCAGCACATAACACAACAACAAAACAATCCTTGGCCTTAAAAGTAATTGATTTGGAACATCAAAACGTTACTGTAAGAGCATCAACAATATCACGTCGACAAAGTTTTCAAAAAGAACTTCAATATTTATTACGTTTACAATCCGTTAATCCATATATTGTTCGTATCTATGATTATGATATAAAAAATTCCGGTGTTATTGCTATGGAACAAGGCACACCACTTCGATATTATTTACCTAAATATCCAACTTCATCGATACCAAATTTACCACCGCAAACTGTAAATCATTTTTGGCGACAACTTGTTGATGGTGTAAGATTTTTACATCGTGCCCGTGTTGTACATTCTGATCTTAAACCAGAAAATCTAATTGTTTTACCCGACGGACAAATACGTATTATTGATTTAGGTATTATAAATATTTGATATTATTGTTTTTGTTTTTGTCTTCGTTCTTTTTGTTTTATAAATTGTTTTTGAATTATAGGTATTTCATTTACATTGCCTCGTATGGTAACAGCTAAACGACGTGTGTGGGCTGGGACACCTGATTATAGTGCACCAGAAATGCATAAGTCATCAAGAGGTCTTCCACCTAAATACGGTTACAAAAGTGATATATGGTCATTGGGAATTCTGCTTCATGAAATGTCTACTGGTTACCGCCCATTATATGCATTAAATAGCAATTGTGAAAAGATTTTTTATTTAAAGCATTTATATCGCGATCTTCCTATAGATATAAATGTTTCACCAGGTGTTTATGATGCAATGAAACGATGTTTACGATTTAGACCAAAATATCGGCCAACATCAGAACAACTTTCTTTACATCCTTATACTGTAAATGGTTTTTAGAAACAAACAAAAAATAATAATTTTTGTTTTTCTTTTATATGATACAATTAAAACAGATAAGTATTGACAAACGGTGACAAAATTCTTCTAGTAGAAAAAGCGATCAAAAATATTTTGAAAGAATTGATAATCAGTAATGAAATTGTACGACCGTAGAGAAAGCAAATTTTAATTCAATAAACAGACTTTTAGATAGTTAATCAATATAAATAGTTTCATAGACAGACAAACATGGCAAGTTTGTTAGTTCTATTTGTGAACTATTCGACACTTGTTATGCGAAAAAAATAAATAATTATACTTTATTAATTTTTTATCAATTTTGCCTTTCTTATTCATCCTGTATGGAAACATATTTAGTATGCGATTGATTACCAAAATATAATTAGACACTGTGTTTACACTTCAAATAAGGTATTCTCACTGAAGAGTCATCATAGAGTATCATATCAATTTATCTTTGTGGCTAATAGTTTATATTTTTGTTGTTGCTTAGTCGTTACTATAAATTATGCAGCGAAGATATACATATACGTTATGATATGTGAATGTGCACTGATAGATTAAGAAACTATTCATGTATAGAATTAAATTTTTAAAATGATTACAAAGGCACAGATTAAGTTTCTTTTTCTATAGTAAAAATATGATTTCATAGAAACGAATACCTAATTGTTGTCTTTCGTTTTTTCATCTTATCAAACAAAATGCTTTATTCAACTTGTCAAAGTATTGACTGTAACAGCTTTTGTTCACTTGGACAAAATTGGAAGAAAATAAAATGACAACATTAATTTTTCTATCATCACCATCGATAGAAGAAAAAAAGCATCTATGAGCGATAAACAAATGTTTCGGTTGAAATCGACCTTAACTAACAAACATATCTATCTATCTAACTATTTTTCCCACATAAGTCTTGCTGAATGTCAAACCGTTGATAGTACAAATTAATTAGAAATAAATCATGACAATGATTACAATTGTATTGTTGATAATAAATGTTACTATACAAATCTTGAATAAACAGGAAATTGAAATAACCTTGAAACAAAAAGAAATCGATATACTTCCTTAATACATAAATCCAACTTCATCTCCTATTCGATTGAAAGGAAATATGATATGACACAGTTTACAAGCTCAATTTACTCGAAATAAATAAGTGATCAAATATTACATGAATTACTTTTACAAACTATATTTATATAGAGTTAAACGAAAGACAAATCTTCTCGAGTGATTTCTTAAAGCAAATATGAGATGACCATTAGTTGTTCAATTCTTCCAAAATCATACTAAGCATCATGCAAATTATTATTTTTTTATAGACAGAACAAAAAAATCTCGTGTAGCTAATCAACACATACACACAATCAAATATACATATAACTGCGTGCATTCATACAAAAAAAAAAACAAAGAAAAGGAGCAATACAGCTGTTATAGTAAAACAAAGGTCAGATAAGACATTCAGTTTTTTTTATTAATGGACATACGAGACACAAAATATATATATGTATAGAACGAGAGAGAGAGAGAGAGCACCATTCAATAAGAAAACGCACACATTAAAGGTTGATTAATTGATACAATGTACAGAAATAAAATAAGGATTAATTCTTATACAAATAAACAAAAGAAAAAATAAACAATTTTCATTGATATGAAATGATTTCTTTTTAACCAAAGCAGAAAACAGAGTTGGTAATTAATATCGACTAGAGTCATATTGCAAGAGATGAAACAAACAAAAACAAATGAAATATAAGATCGACGAATAAGATGTATTTGGATTGATATACTTGATATCACAAGAGAAACAAAATAAGAAGATAGTAGAAAAGTATATCATCATGCACCACCAGTAAAATTGATATAATTTTCTGGTATAAGACCAGTTTTACCATTAATTGTGCCCATTACCTATTCAAAAAATAAACCATAATAATAATAATTCACGTTTTTTACGAAATTTTATTTTGAAAAACTTACCCATCCAGGTTCTTTCGACGGTCGGACTAAAACAAATGAAAATAATTTTTTAGTAACTTAATTATGTATTGCTTATTTCTCAAATGTTACCTTGCGTTACAATTTCATTTGCATTAAATGATAATTCGGAATCATTATCAGCTCGGCACTGATATAAAGTTACACCGCGTGTTTGTCTAAAAATAAAACAAAGAAAAAGCAATGATTAAAATTTATTGCTAAGGAAATTCATAACAGATCACTAACGGTTTAGGAGGAAGATTTGTTAAGTTTGGTGTTCGTATTGATCGTACTGTTGATGATGAACCATTAACTGGTTCTAATTTTGATGATGAAAGACTATTTGTGGTTGATAAACGAGTAGGAGTATCGGATATCTGCCTTGTATAAGATGATAGAGAAGTTGAGCGTGTTTGACTACTGAACAAATTGGAACTTTGTAATGATTGAACACCGGTTGATGACGTATTACTTAGAGATTCTAAACTACTACTAGAACTCGCTAAAAGAAAAAATAATAATAATACAATAAAACTAAATTGACATAGGTTGTTTGAAATAATTTTTTCGAATGAATTAACTTTAAAACATTTCTATATTAATCTCTAAATTATAAATTTATTAGATAATCTTTTTTTGCGTTAAGCAAATCTTCGGATTTCTTTCCTTCGAACTTGATGTTTTAGACTAGAAAAAAAATGAAGTAATCACTTACAATCTTTTCGACTTGTATCTTCTGGAGTTGTTGCGTATATGTTTTTATTGGCAATACTTAAATGATAATCTGGATTCGGTATACCTTTTCGACGTGTATCGACTGCTGTTTCGATTGCATCACTTGTCGTCGCCGTTGTTGCTGCTGTTGTTGTTGTTGGTCGTCTTGCCATTGACTGATAAAAGAAAAGAAAAATACATCCATCGATTATCTTGTCCTTTTGACAACGTAGATTAAAGAATCTTACAGCTAATGATGATAGAGAATTGCTTAAATTAACAACAGAATTTTCGCCATTGTCATGACTTCCAACCATTTCATCGATATCTTTTTGATCAAGTTTTGATTTAAACATTTTTTCATAATGTATTATAATTAATTCAACGATAGCATTGCGAAATTTAATATCATATATTGATGAAACAGTTTCAACTTCTGGTCGAAGCAACGATGGACCAAAGCAAACACCCAGATTAACAGGTGTCATCAAGTTTTTTTCATGCAATTTTGCGACTCTGCAAAAACAAAATGCTCGAGTTTTTGCGAAAATGAAAGTTTTTGAATTTAAAGAAAATTCGATTTACTTATGCAGATGCGCCATGAGAATATGTAAAAGATCATGACTTGGTTTAGGCAATTCTTTTAATAAAGTATGAAGTGTTCGAATACGATCTGCTTTATCATCAATCACTAAAAATGAATCATATTTTTACAAAACCACTGTACGAAATTGGCAGAAAATTTTCCTACTCGCTGCTTCAATAAATCGATTATGCAATTTAAATGTAAACACAGGTTCTTTTAATGTTCTTAAATAAAGTTTAAGCGCTGAACAAACTGTCTTTAATTCCATATCTTCATCAACAGGTGTTGATAATTTTTGTGCATTTGTTTTATGTGAATCTAAATAAACGATATGATTAATTGTTTTGTTTTTTGGTTAGTAAAAAAATTAATTTTACCAAAATGCGCAGCAACTACTGAATTAACTTTTGATTGCATACCAACAATACGATAAAGACCTTGTTCATGTAAACCTCGACGTTCAATTGTTCGAATGCATTTCTTAATAAAATCAATACCAGTTTCATCCAATTCATCTAATCAAAAGAATTATTTCTTAGTTTGTTGTTTTTCTTGTAGTTTAGTTTTAAAATTTACTTTGCATTTCAGTTTTTGAAGATATTTGTGGTTTACAGACATTGACTTGTCCTCCCATAATTGATATCCATCCTTCAAGGTCGTCATCAGTCATTGATTGAAATGTAAAAACCAGCGGCTTATCTGATGATGCACCTTTCTCAATAGCTTGAATATCGAACATGAATCGTTTATCAAGCTTTTCATCGGCTAAATGAATCTGGCAACCACGTACGAAGACATCATATGGACTTAACTACATTTACAAATTACAAAAAGAACACTAGCATTATAGGTTCATTATTTTACTGATATTTAAGTAGCTATTATTCTGGTGAATTTTAAAAGCTACGTTAATTATTAGCAATAGTTAAATAAGCATTAGCCATACGAATATATATACATATCTATCTTCGTTGTCTTGTTACATCTACTATGATACTTCTCAATTAAGCGAGAGATATTTACTCTCAATGGATGCTTTTGTTTGGCATAGCAAAGAGTGCACAGAAAAAAGAACGCATTTAAAAAGATTATTTTTATCACAATAAAATACTTCAATTCGATAATATTTAATGCGGAATCCTAGACGCATACTTGTCATCGTTTCTAACAATCAAATATAAATATAATGTAAAGAGAAGTTCTATTATCGTGTATCGATTTCAAGTCGATCTAATAATGATTAGAAAAACAAATAATCATTTTTGATTGAATCAAAAATGTATAGTTCTCTTTAGAATAATAGGTTCAAGTATTTTCTAAGATTTCTCTTTTAAGTATTATTAGCCAAATTTTTTTAAAGTGACAGCTGTAAATTACAGACTCTTTATCATTCTACATATTAATCAATATTAACACGAATAACAAGATGGTCTTAAATACAGCGAATAAAAGAGTACTTATATTTCAATAAAAATGATTAATTAGGTGAAAGTCATTTAATCACAGTAAATGTTCTTGTAAGAAATATTTTGCCAATTTACATTAATCTGTTCGATATGTAGAGAAATAAGAATTACGAAATCGATAGATTATTATTTTGTTACTCTTCATTCTTACATCACTTTGCATACAAAATCATCTCGTCTTTTATAGAGTAGTTCACAGTGCTCGAATTCGAAGTTCTATTAACATTTCGAATTCATAGTTTCAAACGACATCAAATTCTTATTTCTTTACAAAATCCTTGTAAACCAAACGATCATGTTCGATTTAGTTTTCAATCAATGCAAAGTCGAGAGTTCTCTTGCGTTATGTTTCACCTTTACCAAACATCAGAAAATGTCATTGTTTCGGTTGATTTCAATGCAATATTATGACATTTCAACCAAGGCAATATGCTTTATGCAACTACTCTCTACGATCAATAAAATTTTACCTGTTTTGTACTCGTTTGTGTAAAATTAATCATTCTCAATAGACCAATATCTTTTCTATATTGACAATAATATTTTGTTAATGCTGTTGTACCAATAATTTTATCTAGATGAATAGAAATTTATTCAAAAAGAATCTATCGACAAGCATCACTTTCTCATACTTCTTTCAATAAGAAATAAATAACCTTCGCGATTATATTCTTGATTTCGAAGTAAATGATCTTCTGGTCTCTAGAAAAAAAAAAAGAAATCAATTCTTAAATTTATTGTTAATTTAGACTCTTTAATGCTATTACCATTAACATTTTCCATTTTAAATCTTCACCTTCTCGTTGAAAACAATCAAAATTTTCTCGACACTAAAAAATATAATCGATTTCAGAATAAAAAACTGAAGAAAAATCCTTTGCTATCTGCCATACTTTCAAAACACGATGATGTAAAAATTTTATAAAATAATCAAATTCTTTATAAATTTCTTGGCCTATAATTAAAACCAAATTTAGTTTTTTTTTTCATAATTCTAAACAATTAATTAATCTCTTTTCTTACCTGCATGATAAAACGATAGAAAATTGAGCATTAAAGCCAAAAGCTAAATAAATAAATAATTTGTTCAACGATTGTTTTTTTTTAATTTGTAAAATGAATTACTGTTTCAACAAAATCAAATTTTTTTCTTTCTTGAACTTGTTGTAATAAAAAAACATAATCAAGTGTTTCTTCACGAAACTTTTTTGTATGAACTAAAAGATTAGCATCGGCCTAAAAAGCAACATATTATGTTGAAAAATTTAGTTACAATCAATTCATACTTCTTGAAAAAGATCTCCTCGTTTTGTTGGTATTTTCATATTATTTTCTATTAAAGTACAATAACGTTGAGTAGTTTTATCGAATTCTTTCTTCTTATTCTAAAAGGTAATAATTCAATTTTTTCATTAGTGAAAATCAATTTTAATCAGCAAACTTTTGCTTTTCCAATTGTTGTCTTTCGAAATTCGTCTAATTTTTTTAAATATGTTTCCGATGATGCACTCTAAATAATATTTAACTCATAGATACAGAATAAATTTTCACCATTGAAAATTTACCAGTGCGTCTCTTGCTTCTTCAATACGATGTAACACTTCGCCCATGTATGCAAGTGATGATTCTAGTTAAAATAGGAAAAGAAAATGAATATTTCTGAAAATTAAAGCTCATCAAAATAACAAACCGATATCTCGTTCTTCGTCCGTTTGTTTACTTCCAACAACGAAAAATTTAAAACTTTTTAAAGTTTCAGCAACACTTCTTGATGCTTTCGACAAAGCTATTTTTAAAACAAAAACAATTTTAATTTTATGACTAAAAATTTTGTTTTTGCTGTTTTTTATACTTTTATTAGCAACCATAACTTCATTTAATTTTTTTATTAATGTCTTTATGGCAGTTGACGTATTCTCCAGTTCATTTTCATGTTGACGTAGTTTTTCACGAAACTCCGGCGAATCTGTAAGTGCTTCTGTGAATTCAAGTGGTGGTAATTTAAGTACCATTGTTGTCTCTTATTTAATATAGATATTATCTATAACAAGCAAATCTTCAAATAAATACAAAGAAAACATGAGATAATAATAAAAAAAGGAAAGAGTTACTAATATGATCGTTATGTTCTTTTTCTCACGTTTCTATGCGCATATTGACATACCACATAAAAAAAAACTTTATGTAGGCTACACATATTCATTGTCGATAGAACGAGGGGGTTAAAATACAAGTTGAAAGGAAAGAGGAGGAATTGCTGTCTCCCTCTTTTCTTTCCTATTTGGCCCTGCAATTCGTCTTTGTCTCGTAACAACTACTGATTATATTTACGTTATATCACAGACCCCGTTTAGCTCGTCCGCCCCCTTGCAAAACGAGAAGAGAACAAATGGCACAGTGATGTCTATGTGTGTATAGCAATTATGGACAATAAGTCATTTGCTGCTATCCTATGATGATCATCCATTTTCTCTTGGTCGTGTCTCAGCCCATAAATATAAACACACTAGCAACATCGCATACCAAGCTGTGAGTTTCAGATGGCATAGCATCTTAGTTATGCTTATGTTAGTCTCACTTTAATCGACGTATCATGTTGATTCGGCGCACGCACATTCATAATGATTATTGGACGATGGTAGTGTTAGTGAAAGAAAGGGATAGGCAAAAAAATGAGAGCAAGACAGAGAGAGAAAAAAGACTTTTCTACTGCTGTTACTACTCTTGCTGACGTCAGTCATGACCTCGGAGCGCGAATTGGACGCGCACGATCTGTCTGCTGTTGACATCTTTTAGATAGCAAGGCCATCCTGACTATAAAACAAATTCTTGTAGCTAGTATCAATTGAGACTTACATAAATACATTGCTTTTTTTCCTCGATAAATTTGTTTTTAGCATGAACAGACTGTATAGTATTCTATGTAGCTAATCGAACTGTTTACTTATCTTGACCACACACATTAGGTTACAATGTGCACACCCACATCCACACAAAGAGAAAATTCGAACTGCTCATCTTTATATTTCTATCTAAATAGTACATCCGCCAAGAAATACACAAAAAGATGACAACTAACTTAAACAACTAAAATTTACCAAATCATAGGAAACAATGTAACTTCAAATATGAAACCATACGGAAAGTGATGACAGAAATGCATACAAAGAAAATTGTCATTCTGTTTTTCTATATATGCATGTATCCATATGTTATCACGAAGAATGAATCTGGCGACAGCGAAGCGTCACTCATCTGATTGTCATGTAAGCATAATAAAAATAGTAGAATAATAGAATAATGTATGTTTTCTGTTTAAACAGAAAAAAGTGTAAAAACAACAAATTAACTATGTATACTTTAAAATAAGTTAATTAAATTAGAGAACACATATGACTTTGATTATTTTGTCATTTGATAGATACATGACAAACAAAATTCTAGTTACAATCAATAAATCTTGACAAAGCTTTCAGCTGCATCAGTTAAAAAAAATCTATTACCAATTTTCATGACAAGAGAAAACAAGCTAAAGAATAAAATTGTGAATATTATATGTTGTTGAAAGGATAGAATCATAAAAAAAGTTGTTACTTGTCGCGTAGAAAAGAACAAAACCATTCATGACTGCTTGATTAACACTTGATGATTCATTTACACTGGGCTACTATACAGCATAAAATCAACCAATCATATTCATTGTGATATCGCACATGGAAATAATAGTTTCTCAAAATATATTATTAAATTCATAATAATTTTTCAATAAAAATAATCGCAAAATTTTCATTGATAAATATAAATGATTTATATATCATTGAAATGTTCATAACACACTCAACTTTGATTGGAGGATCAACAAGCACCATTTTACTTTGCTTATTTTTCATTTATAAACATATACAGTTCTTGTATTCATTTGATTTTTTGTATTTAAAAAAAAATATAATTTCATTCTCTAACCATTGAAACCTTTATTTTCATTATGTTTTTTTTTCTAGAGAGAAGAACTCGATCATGTCGACTCCTTCGGCTAAGACTGTACCAACAGGTGGTAAATCTAAAACAACAGCTAGTGGTAAATCTACAACAACAACTAGTGGTAAAAAGGTAGTCAACTCACATTCAAATCGATTATTGAACGGCGATGGTCTTATGCGATTTTCACGTGGTCGCATGTTCCATCGACGTGCATTATATCGTATTGGCAAATGGAAAGATCAACAAGCTAAATTAAAAGCAGATAAAACGAAAAAAACCGCTGGAAGTATTCAAAAGAAAAACAAACGAGCACCAGCACTTAAAAAGAAACCAATCGGTGGCGATCGAAATGGTAAAGAACGTCTTGTACGAACAAAACGATTTGTAAGTATAGTTTTTTGATTTTAGTATGTTTTCTGTAATCCTATCGTTTTTTTATTTATTCAAGCCACGTTTCTATCCAACTGAAGAACGACCAAAGAAATTTTCTGTTAAACGAAAGAAATTCGGCGATCACCCACGTCGATTCCGATCATCGCTTTCACCTGGCACCGTTGTCATTCTTGTTGCTGGTAAACATGCCGGAAAAGTAAGAGATTAGATATTAATTTTTCTTTTGTTTCACTGTTGTTTTTTTCTTTCTTTAATTCTTTAGCGTGTAGTTGTCGTTAAACACTTATCATCTGGACTTTTATTAGTTACTGGTACGTATATATTTGTGTTGTAATTGACTTTAGAACGAAATTTTATTTCTATATCATTAGGTCCATATAAATTGAATGGTGTAAAATTAAGTCGTGTGAATCAAATTTATGTTATTGCAACAAGTACAAAACTCGATGTTTCAGCCGGTAAATTCGATGCATACGATGATAAATTCTTCAAACGTGTTCGCCCGGCTAAGAAAGATGCTGAAAAAGATATATTTGATTCAAAGAAAGAGGTAAAATTAATTTGCAAAATTATTTTAAATTCTATTGAAAAATTTCATAATATTATTCGCATAAGTCCCTTTTCTTGGTCACCTTGATAAAATAATACGCCATCGATTTTAAGGATTGCTATTATTGATCTAGACTCCGTGTCGAGGGGGAAAATGCATGAGAGTTAATGATTTAACGTGTTTCGTTTGTTTCTTTCAGACATTGAACTTCCTAGACTATTAAATATGAAGTCTAGAAGAAATCATTGGTCTAGTTCATTAACAGTACGGAATGCTAAAAACATAGCATTGAAAAAAATGATTTTATTTTCCATCGTGTAGAAATTTTTAATAAAAACAATAATATTTATTTAATTATTTTAAAACTTGCTGCTAAATTGATAAACAGAATAATCGTTAAAATATTACTAGAATACACAGAGAGGAACTAATAGGATCTGCTTTGATAACTACATGTATTCAATTCTATTGTCATAGTAAAATGCTGAAACTATCCAAATCATAAAAATGGTCGAAAGTATTTTTCTAGTATTGTTACAGATGTTCGATTTTGTGATTATTTATTCCAACTTGTTTTGGTCTATGATAAATAAGGCTGCTATTTTTTTGTTTCATTGCTATGAATAGAATGAAAATAATCGCAGCCAATGAGAGTTCGTAATTTTTAGGCTGGATATTATCCTTGCATAAGTACATATTAAATCCATCTTCTATCAAAAATGAGACTTCCTTTTTTTTTAATTCTTAATTCTACCTTTTTATGGGTATTTTCGCACTATGGGCGTCGCAAATAGAATTTCTTCTATTTTGAATGTATGACATTATTTTCATAATCAACATCAATTTTTTTCTGGCAAAGCAATGAACTTTACTTCTATTTATCGATGAAGAATTTTGAGGGCAGCAAAGGGCGATATTATCTTAACCGAAATCATTCACTTTTGAGTACTTCGAATTAAAATAACTGTTTTTATTTTTCTAGAAACCAAAACTCAGCGAAGAACGTACTCAAGCTCAACGTACTGTTGATACAATCGTTCTTACTGCTATTAAAGCCAATGCCGATTCACGCGTTCTTCGTCGCTATCTTAAAAGTCGTTTTCAACTTTGGAATGGTGTTTTACCACACAAGTTGAAATTCTAAAGACAAACAAACGAGATCGTTAAAAATTGAATATCACAAGCAACAAATCCAACGATCATCACGTAACAACCATTATATAATGTTGCTGTTTTTGTTGTTTTTTGTTTCGATTTAATACAGAAAATTTTTTTTTCGTTTTCTATCCGTGACAAACTAAGAAAAGAAAGAACATAATAAAAAAAAGAATTACAAACGAAAAAACTACTTAACTGCTAAACGCCAAATATAGTATCATTTTTACGAACTCAGACTCTGATGAGTTAGTTTTCTTTTCTCATTCACCAACGACTTGTCAAAAACAACAGTCGACGTACTTCATTCACCTAATGGAACAAACTCTTACACTTATTTATTGTCTCACCCTCGTTTCTGTTTCTTTTTTGCCATAAAGACAAACATTTAAAAAATTATAGTTTAGAATACAAGGTGAAGAGATTAAGAACAAGTTTAGCTGTATGCATTCGGACATATTTCAAATCATGAATGACGTGCATCAACCAGTAGTTTCAGCAAAAATGCCTACTATTAGGCAGCGATTACCATTTAATGACGTTCCATCGGTTCATATGATTAAATTAAAACGTGGTCTCATTCAACGTTCTCTTCTTTATTGTTTTGAAAAGGGCTATTTTTCATTGATTCGTTATTTACTTCAATCAGATTCAGCAGATGTCCGTGAACGTGACCATGAAGGTCGTACGGGTCTGATGTATTGCTGTTTTATTGATAGTGACTGTTGGGCACAAAATATTTCTATGATCCTACTCGAGTATGGTGCTAAAATAGAAGATGAAGATCACAATGGACTTAATGCATTACATTATGCAATTATAACACAACGATCAATTTTAGTTAGACGTTATCTTGCTTCACTTGATTTTGATCTTAGTCGAGCAGTAGATATCTATGGTAATACATGTTTACATTATGCATGTTCAACAGGTAATACAGACATCGTTCGTTCTATTCTTGATGCAATGAAACGTTATTCAGTTGATCTATCAGTTAAAAATCATCATCAACTAACAGCACTTGATATTGCTTGTCAATTAAATCATGAACGTTGTCAAAATCTACTTCGTAATGAAATAACACTTATTGAACATACTAATAAAGTATCAACAAAAACACGTGAATCACATACAACTATGAAATCATTATTTGAACGACGTTCATCTACACCAACGAGAACAAATTCAACGGCATCAACGGCACATCTTACAGAATCTATTGTATCGGTACCCATAATCATGTCTCGATCAAAAAATTTTCCAAATCATTTTTCAACTACAATAAATTCTAACAATAAAGAAAACATTGTTAACCCAACACCTATATTTGTTGATCCAATTAAATCACGTCGTATCTCACTTAGACGCAACGAAACTCTCGATTTAACACTTGCGAATCAAGTAAAAGGTCGAGTTGATTTTGCTACAACACCATTAACAACTAAAAATGCTATTTTAAGTGCATCATCATCAACATGGCGTGATGATTTTTCACATATGTTTAATCAATTACTAACATTTAAAACGCCATCATATCGAAAAACTATTCATGCACCATTAAATACTGAATTACCAAGTTATTTATTTGAAAGTACATCTGACGGGTTTGGTGCCGATGGAAATGACAGTAATCACCAATCGCAATCATCTTTGCGAACAAATCTATCACAGAAAGTCATTCATCGACGACGAAGCAGTGCAGTTAGTACTTTATTAGTGGCACATAAAATGAAAAAATAAATTTTAGAAAATGAATCCATATTGTTTTGTATGATGATTCGATAAATGAAATTTTTCTAAGATTATTAATTGAACCAATGAAATTTGTGAGAACAAATTCAAAAAAATGCGTCTTTTTTTTAAATAATAAATATATATTTATAATTTTTCTTTCATTTTACTCTTATTGGCAAGAAAAACGAATTAATGATGTGCACTGGTTATTACTCGTGGGTAGATTTAATTTTGATCGACGGTGACAATATCGACAATAAAAACTATGATGAGACACTGAGAATATCAGAGCGAACAAGATTTCTACTAGCATATATTCTCATGGTTACCATTTACGCACTTCTACTAGATAGAAAATAGTATTTTCGCAGGAAGTTAATGCTACTACACCAACTTTGAATTGCTTGTTTGAATTAATTGAATTTTTAGAAATTCTTGCCATCAAGCTGTTAGGCATGACCAAATAAAACATAAACCAATATTGTACATCAAGGACTAAATATTTAAGGAAACAACCAAACCCATTGCCTGATAGTATTACACTAGAAAAGAGGAAACGCTTTTAGCGAATATTAACTTTTAGAATTAAAAACAAAGATTCGACTCATAACTATTTTTTTAAATTCAAACTATGCGTAAAGAAAATAAACGATATTGAGCATGATTTTAATTTATTAATTGAAAAACTAACTATCAGTATGTTTCAAATATCAAATTGACCAGTTGGTCGTAATAGAGTAATTATTGACAAAGCACGAAAAATAAACATATATATAATGGGATCAATAAGAAAAACGCACATTTGTATATAATAGATAATAGATTTTATTGAACGAACATGTTCTATTGGTACATGTATGAATATTAAAAGTATAATATTAATCAATGACCAAATAAGAATAATGTATGAAGCATATTGAAATAATTTTTTTCGCTGTATTATATTTAATCTTTGTGTATGCTGTTCAATTTTAAATGTTGCGAAGTATTTCGATATTCGACGGTCTATGGATTTCATTTGTCGATTATGTGATATTATTAAGAGAATATACGGTATGATACAAGTAAACGATAAAACAAAAAATGTATACGACAAATTAAATTTATAATTAACAATACATATACTTAATATATGATCGAATATCATTGATGCCCATTCATTGCTTACACTTGGCCATGTAAAAATACATGAGTAAATAAAGATACATAGAAAAAGAATTAATATACGACAATAGGTTATTTTTTGCCAATATTTACTAAATATAAAACAATAATGCCATAGAAGACGTATACTGATCGTTAAATTTATGTGAAATAATGTTAAAACGTGAAGCGAAAAACTTTGTATAGTGCATAAATTTAGCGAATATTTTATTGTATTTGGATAAAGTTTTGGATATAAATATATACCAAAACGTAACCAATTAGTTAGAAATAAACATGTACATAGAAGAAGACCGAATGAACGAACTGTTCGATTTAATATTGTTTCACATTCAAAAAGAATGGCTGATGGTAATGATGAATACGATGATGGTATCGATGGAATTCTATTAGCTACAAATGATTTTACTGGTTCGACTTCTGTAACATTTAAACATGATTGTTCAATATTCGATGATGGTATATCTGCTACAATATAAACCAAATAAAAAATTAAGATGAGTACAATTGAATTCGTAATTTTGATTCTTTTTCTTTTTTTTTATTGAATTCTTTAAAACTACCAGGTTATCAGGTAATTTATGATCTATTGTAGTTTCGTTTTCAAGTATTGAATCACTATATAACGAGTATTTTAGTATTCTCAATTTATCATATTTCTATATTTTATCATATACTCATTAGCATTAAGCAAATAGGGAGATTTCCTCTTTCTCTCTCTCTCTCTTTTGATCAGAGAAATTCATTGCTGTATGTAAATCTGTAGAACTTTAGGTGTTTGCATAAAATAAGTTTAATTTCTATGTCTTGATTTTTCAGCCAGTAAATTTGCGCCTAACTTAATTTCACAGCTAGATATAGGCTAGTAAGAAACTAACCTGTATTTAATTTTTCCGTCGGTGTTTGTTTAAAATATCGATGAAATAAATGTCGTGATATATTTACTATTTGCCATTTATTGTTAAAGATTGTTGTTAAAAAAAATATAATATGAATTATAAAACTGACAATCAAATATGATAAAGTTGTCATCATGATTAATTCATCGTCATTCATACTAGTCATAGATAGTGACGATTGGTTACTGCCTGCAAAAAATAAAAAAAGACATCTTGTTTTAACCTATACTGTATATCTAATACCAATAACAAGTGTTCCCATACGAGTTAATACTGTTCGACTAGAGAAAACCGACAAGAAAACAAGAAGGCGAGAGGCAAAGATCAAAAAAATGCGATTTTTCGCGTATATGTGTATGTGGGATTGCCTATCGTTTGTACGTCTCGATCACAGCTAATCAGAGTAGAAAAAAGGAAAGAACACAAATAAAAAATTAATTTCTCTCTATGGAATCTAATCTGCGTGATGTCTCTTTTTTACAGCTTCACTATAGTTCCGTTGCTGTGGGTGTAGTTGTTCCCAATATTGATCCAAGTCGTCGTAGTCGTCAACATCGTCATCGTTATCGGCAAAGAAAAAAAAAATAAAACTCATTCTAGTACAAATGTTTTTGTTTCTAGCCATCATCTTCATCTCGCATACCGGAAATCGACAAATTAACAAACTCACAAAATCCCCTACAACTAATCGGATGCATATAGACTTTGTTTTTTGAAAAAATATTTCTCTCTATACAAATGTGTCACAGAAGAAGTTATAGAAACCGTGTTGAAACATATTTTCGAGCTAGTCAACATCATTCTTTTTTTAATGATGTTGTTCTTAAATAAAATCGAGGAATCTGATATATTGACATTTGTCCGTTCGCTCTCTCCAACTTATTCATTCTTTAACAGTATTGTAAGCTAGATTGCTTCTTTTTTTCTCCTGTATATGTTATGATGTTCTTCTGGCAGGCATCTCATGTGTGCATGCATCATAACAATCTGCTTAACATAGAACAGGTGTTCTCCTGTTCTTATTTGAAACGCATTTATTTTTACAGTTTGTAATAAAATCCACCTCAGATATTTATTCTATTGAAAATAGTTTAACTGATAAATTATGATAAGTTAAAAATCTATTGAAAACCAAGGAATCAAACTTGCCGATTAGTTTTATCCGTTTATTTTAATGCAGTAGTTTATTGAAACGAGATAAATTGAATTAGTATTATTTGGCAGATAAGAGAATAACAAACAAGTAGCGTGGGAATGTCATCTCAATGATTTACTTTATATTACTTCAGTATTACTATAAATAATACAAAAGTTATCGATCAGAAAGGGCATCTGGATATGAATCGATCGATTAATGATGTAGGGTTTTTTGTCTGTTTATTTGCGCTAATTTTTCTCTCTCATTTTATTCTGGATATTATCCATATGTCGATACAGACAAAAAAAAATGTTAGAGATGTATTTCAAGATACAACACGTACAAGAAATGATAACTTTTACAGTAGAACAGGGAGAAAATTGTTTTTATTTTTGCGATTTGTTTGCAATAATCGTTCATGAAAACATCATTTGTCTGATTACGTTTTTCATTGATTATGATCGACTACGTGATTTTGATCGTGATCGCGATCTGTGAAGAAAGAAAAAAAAACAAATGAAGCAAGCATGAAAAATAAAAAAATATTTACTTACGGTGAACGTCGACGATAATTATCACGACCACCGTCACGACCGCCATCCCGACCACCGTCACGGCCACCATCACGACCACCATCACGACCACCATCACGACCGCCGCCACCACGACGATCGTAATTTGTATTTCGACGATTGTGATAACGATCGTCACCATCACTTCGACTTTCGCGACAATTACGAGATATATGGCCAGGACGTGAACAATTATAACATGTTAAATTATTACGATTATTGCCGCCACCACCACCACCGCCACCGCCGCCACCACCACCGCCATGCTTCAAAATAAAATATGCATTATTAAAAACGAAAAGAAATTTCGCTGAAAGATTTTTACCGATGGTCCACGTCGAGATGACCGTGCCCATTGAACAATAAATGATTTTCCTTGGTGTTCACGTCCATTTTCTCCTTTAATAGCTGCCTAAAATGGTCGTTAAAGCACTTGATCAGAAAAAGTTTCTATAGATATTGGAAATATTAATATTAAAAATCAAAACTAGAAATTATAATTTTCTCTAGTGACTCGACATACCTTCTATATTAACAGTATGAAAAGAACTCTGAAAATGGGAAAATGCACTGCTGATGTATGAAATATCACCACCACCTTCAATCAAACTGACACTGAAACATGTTACAGGTTGTTCATCATATATGAGTGAATCGTAGGCGTGCATATGTATAAAAAGAAACTTTAGGGATTACACGATGCACTCCTAGAAAACAAAAAGGTCGTAATTAAGTATAAATCGAAAACTTGATGATTTTGTTTTAATTTTTTAAAATAATATTCAATAATAATTACTTCAGCATCTGAGTTTGATTCGAATTCAAGAAAACCATAACTTGAAGCAAAATCTATTTTTTAAAATACATATATATATATATGTACATATGAAGAATTATGAATAATATACTTGATGCTCCTTGTTTGAGTTCACATCTTACTATGCGTCCATAGTTTTCAAAGATACTAATAAAGAAAAGATTAGAAGATACTAAAGGTATGTACATTTTATAAAAAAATAATTACTCTTCGAGTTCATTCTTTGATATATCACGGTGAATATTGCCAACAAAAATTTCGACTTGAGACATTGATTCAAAATTTCTCATAATAAAATGTACTTGACCGATTAGTGATTAGTATGTCTATTTGTTTACTTGTTTATTTACTGAGATTTCAACTCTACTTTGTTGTCCATTTTAATTGAGGGCGGATTTAAAAATTCGATATTTGCATATTTGCATATGGAAAAAAATAGCTAAGCTTAAAAATAAACTAATATCTTAATGTATAATTTTATTTTTAAGCTCAAAATATCCTGAAGATGTCATCAAATATCGCCTGCAATTTCATGCTCGGGGATGGATCGTATAAGTGTGTGTGTTCATAGTTATGCGAACATCTTGATTTCATTCAATTTCTGTATCTACAAATAGTTCAACATAGTTTTTCTAATTTTGTTTTTGTTCTAATGAAATATGAGCATGTACGGGTGTCTTTTTATGGATATAAAATGAATTTCATTATGAATCATTTGTACCAAGTGCTTATTCAGCGTTGCTAAAAGCAACAAATTAACATTTCTTCATCAATCGAAAACTGAATGTATACCTATGTATGCTGAGTATATCGAAATGCAAAGGAAAACAGAATAATATAAAGATGTTGCTAGCGCTTGTTTGGCTACTTTTCAAATTTCGACTTGCAACATATTATCAATAAACCATTTGATTATATGTTTCTTTTCTTGGATTAATAAAAGTCTACTTTCTAAATTAACTGATCATTTTTCTTTATTTTCACGTTTGAAATGAGAGTAAACTTCATACCGAACAGATTTATTGCAAATTGGTTCCTATGCTAAGAAGACAAGTAGCATCAGATCCGCTAAAACTTAGAAAAACTTTTGAGGCAAAATAATGATACCTTACCTATGAATGACAAGAAAAGTGATAGAAGACGATGAAAAAATCTACCAGAAATCCACAGAATGAAAGAAAATATCCGATGATGACGAAAAAGTTGCGATATAATACTAAAGGGATAAGTTTGAGTTTTTCTCCCGCTTAATTAGTAAAGTTCTTCTATAGATAGACAAATCTTATATAAAGTAGACGTTGTTTTCAACTTTTGATAGTCCTCATTCGGTTGCATGACACAGTTATCTTCACTAAAGTGACACTTATAGGTAACAAACATTATTATTGGCGCCAAACTACTTAACTAAACATCAAAATTCGAGTCAAAAGATTTGCCGCCAAGGAGACATACAAAATTATAGTCATATAGAGAGGATACATCAAGCTATCAATCATGGTGCATAATTGTGCAATTATAAGTTGTCCACTTCATAATCGACGGAATATTCGTAAAGGTATTTCATTGAAATGACATGACACATTTTTCTAAAAGTTCTTTTTTTCGTAGGACTTCTTTTTCATTCATTTCCAGTTGATCAACATCGATTTGAATTATGGCGACAGACAGTATTTAATCACTGCGCACAAACACTTTCGATTAATAAACATTCGAAAATTTGCTATCAACATTTTCATCCAGATGATTATATTGCAAATCATACTGGTCTTACACGTTATTTAAAGGCGACTGCTACACCATCAATTTTCACTCAAAAAAATTCTACGAGTACAAATCTACATCCTTCTTCTACATTGAATAGTCATCTGCTAACATCATCAACAAATTCGAATACTAATCGATCGATAAAATTAAACACACTGCTAGAAACACCACCAACACTTTTCATTTTACCATCCAAATCTTCTTCATCAATAGGATTACCGACATTAACAGACACAAAAGCAAAGCGACTTTTAAATACCATAGATAAATTACATCAAATTCAAAATGCAAATAAAATTGTTGTGACACAAAAACTAATTTCTGAAAATGAAAATGAAAATGAAAAACAAGATTTTGATAATAATAATAATAAAATCATAGAAAAACAAACATTAAAAGCAACCCACCTCATCAATGATAATCAGATGTTATGTGATAATTTAATGGAACCAAAGGAACTATTTCTAATTAATCATCAAAATGCAATCAAGGAGCAACAAACAATTCGTAAATTTAAAGTTTAATGAAACGATCATCAAATATTTTATCAATTCGTTTTAGAGGACACTTTTCAACATTCATCAATGGACTCTAATACATTCCGGCGAGTAGAAAATGTAGTTATGTCGTCACCCAAGAATCACCTAGAAGATACATTATACAAATTTCTTGAACAAGCTAATCTTTTACAATATTATTCTGCTTTCATCGAACAAGGTATTTCAATATAAAGTTCTCAAGTCAATTAGCTATCTGCATTGAAGTACTATTTCATTTCATGAAATTAGATGTATGAATGTAACAATAATATATTGAGCTCGAAATGACTAGAATAATATGGTTAGATGAAAGGAGAAGATTTTATGAGAAAATGGACTGCAAATGGAGGAGATTTGCAGTAAAAATTTTATATTGAATATACGCTTAAAATATAAACTGAATTTCATGTGAACATATACTAATATTTCCCCGGGTTATAGACAATTCTGTTTAGTAATAGATACACTAGAGAATCATATTGGCTATTTATTTTTCTAGGGGGTGACGATTTAAAGCAACTTGCTGAAGCACAAAATGATGATTTTCAAGAGATTATTACTCTTGTTGGAATGGTATCAAAACCGTTACATATTAAACGATTTAAAAGAGCATTAGCTGATTATCGGCAATCAACGAATCATAGAGATATTGAACATTCATTTTCAAATAGTTCGTATTCAGCTATTCTAACTCATCGCTTATCGGCGGATGAACCATTATCTGAGCGAAATTTACTTTCATCACTTATTACTTCAACATCGACGAATAATTTACCGAAGTCGGTCAATCAAATTTCATCTAATTGGTGTATTAATGTTTGTTTTTTTTGAATATCTTTCGACATAGATACGATTCAATTTTTGATTATTTTAGAAAACGGATAATAGTAAAACTAATAATATTCATCAATTAATTGATGATAGTCAACGTAAAAGGATTGCAGATGAAGCAGAACGATTAGCTAATTTATTACCGATAACATCAATTAAAAAGCTAAACGGACGTAGTAATATATCAAAAGATTTATTTGTATGTTTTTCTTTCAACAATAAATTAACACTGATCTATTTATATTTATAGGCTACAATGAATTTACCGAGAGATTTTGAAGATCGTTGGCAACGTATACGAAAATATTCAGCTATCTGTAATTAATTTAAATCATTAGATAGGTGTATTAAAATGCTTTTTTAAAAATGTTTAACTTAATTTAGATAATCGATTTGATTCGAAAACACCTAATCAAGTGCTTAGCTTGCATGAAGTTAGTGCAGAAAATCATTCATTAGTTTGATTTTAATACTATCTTTAGATTCTAATCAATGAAGCTGCAGCTGCTATTTGTTTTCATAGACCAGGTTTCATATTATATATTATACTGAACGAATTCTTCATTCAAAATTTAGAATTTCTAACACGTCGTGACGAACTTTTACATCTTGCTCGTCGCGTTCTTCAAAATATTGGAATTCCTACGACTAATATTCAAAAACGGTATTGAAATCATTCTATTCTAATAGAAAAACAAAATGATGTGTAGTCTTTGTAGACCATTGAATATGTTAACATGTGATATAGTACCAGCAAAACAAGTGAAATTAAATGTGTCAACTTCAAAAGCATATACTCGACAACGAGATCCAGACGCTTTTCGATTGATGTGGCACAATCGAGAAGTAGATATAGTTAATTCTTAAAATATTAATTCATACATTTGTTTTTTCTATAAAGGCAAAAGTTGAACAAATTCCTATTCAAATTGAAGCATTTCGATATGAACAAAATCAATTATTACAACAGTTGAAACAAAATGCAATTGATTCATCGTCATCATCTGTAGATAATATTTGTCTGAAAAAACAAATTGATGATTTAAGTAAACAAATAGAACAACTCAATGATGAAGAAAAAAATTTACGACGATTAATTCGCAAAAGAAATATGCGGTAAAATATTTTTTGTAATGTGATATATTTATTTTCATTAAAAACATTCTTTGTGATTTTTCAGTCTTCGAGCAAAAGAACGTCAACAACAAAAACAACAGATGCTTGTTCATCATTCATCAACGATTCAAGATTTAATGTTACCGATAATACCAATAACACCATCAACATCAACATTACCCAACGATATCATTGAAGATCAACTAACATCAACGCCATCAATGCAAATCTTCGAAACTAACACTGATATGTTTCATTCAATAAATATCAAAGATGAAAAAGTTGAACCATATACCAATCTTTCTTCGTCTGTTTTACAAGCAAGAAAAGAATTTTCACAGGCAACACTTATTGCTAAACCAATTAATAAACGACGCGAAGAAATCAATGAAAGTTCAATTGTACTCAATAAGGAAACAATTCCTCAAAGCAAGTCATCACATTCGACACAAAGAAACCATTCATCATCGACAACAGCTATTGGTTCAGTACTCGATCCTGACTTTCATTCTTATAAGCCAACTAATATTCTTGCGACATATCATAATGAGCAAGATATTGTTGAGAGCAAAAGTTTTATCCATACACTTGATTTTAATGTTCATACCTAAATTAAAAAGAATAAATCAATCAAATAGAACATTTCATTCTTTGAACTATTCAATTGTATATAGTGAGTGTGCAATGTTAATAAAATCAACTACTGTTTCACTATACCTAGTTATTCTCGTGACACTCGTACATCTTCTTTCTGATAGTATAGTTTTACGCTATAAAACAAGTGATTCCATATCAAAAGTCATCGAGAAAATAATAATGAACTTGTCTTCGGTACCGAAGTAGACTACAGTTAAACCGTGATCAAACTGAAAACCGAACGTTCTACATATGAAAGCAACAACGTTGTCTAGAAATCAACAAAGTTAATTTCTAGAAAACAATTCATCGGTGTTTCGTAAGATTTTGTTGATAGGTACTCCTATACAATGAATTTCATTGAGCGAGAATCGTTTGTCAACAATAATCGGAAGAAAAGAAACACATTAGAAGATTTTGTAAAAACCTTGTACGCTTGGATGTAAAACAAGGGATTGGCAACCTTATGTGGTAGGAAATGTCTTTGGATGAAACTGAAGGTAAGACACTCATAAATACAGTTATATACACGCACACTGTATAACAATATTTTTAGTGAGTACTGCAGATTTTTTAATATTGTATTACTCAGTATAGTGTAATGCAAAAAGTAAATTTTAGTGGATACTAGTTCGTTTACTACCACACATTGACAATCAGAAGCGCTATTATATAAATCAACTGATAACGTATAGCCATCGTGTCAGATGGATATATCATCAAGAATATGATGTATCTGATATTTATCGAGACAAAATATATAGATTTAGTATTTAATTATTTTATAATGAATGATGGAGCTTTCATATTTTGAATAGCTAGAGCTTGCTAGTTTTTGTGTCATATCGTCTCGTCTCCCTCTCTGCATGTATATATTGTTGAGTCAACCTGTAGATGTCACGAGTAGATGATAAGTGACTTGTAGAAAAAGGCAATGTGTTTACAATTGAATTGCTATTGTTTTTTTATTTATTCGTCATCAACATGATTGTGATCTAAGTGCACTATAAAAGATACAACGTTACTTTAATGGCCTCATTTAGTTTTCAGAAGATTTTGTACACATATTACACATTATTTAGAATTGAATCTAAAAAATCTGATTCACGTTACTGAGTACAAACATCAATCAGATCATTTGATTGAGCATTCTAACTTCTGGTTAAGACAAGGCCATTGGGGTAAAGATGATTTTCTTATTGCTTTACTTCTAGAATATTTGCAATCATGTCAACAAAAGCTATCTATGAAGCTACAGGTAAAAAACTTCTGAATAAATATCTCTGTTCAACAGCAGCGGAATGTCGCTGCGTTAGTGTTGATGAAAATACAAAATGGGATGAACTGGTCGCCAATAATATTTGGCTAGAAAAAGAGGTTTGAATTATAACTGATTCTCTTAATTAAAATATTCTTTTTCCTAGAGTTTGGTCGCTAAACCTGATCAATTAATTAAACGACGCGGCAAACTTGGTCTTATTAAAGGCGATGTTAACCTTCAAGGAGCTAAGGATTTTATATTAGAAAAATTAGGCAAAGAAATTTCGGTAAATGAAACTAAGAGTTATAATATGCTCAAACTAAATTTCTTTTTATATCAAGATTGGTCATACAACAGGAAAATTGAAACATTTTATTATTGAACCTTATGTTAAACATGAGAACGCAGATGAAATGTATATTTGTATTTATTCCAATCGAGATGGAGAAATGATACTTTTTCATCACGAAGGTGGTATTGACATTGGTGATGTTGATTCAAAAGCATTAACTTATACAGTTATCATCGATGAACCATTTGAGGTCAATAAAATGGAGCAAGCTTTATTAAAGAATGTACCAGCAGATCGACGATCGTACGTAAAAGCAAATCAAATTATATTGATTTAGATAATGTGTCTCATGGGATGAATATTTAGGCATTTATCAGCATTTATCACAAAACTATTTCAAGTTTATATGGAATTGCAATTTACATATTTAGAAATCAATCCATTGGTTGTTACATCAAAAGCTATTTATATACTTGATTTAGCTAGTCGTCTTGATCAAACAGCTGAGTATTTATGCGCTTCGAAATGGGATAAAGTCACATTTCCACCACCATTTGGTCGGGATGCTTATTCAGAAGTAAATAGAAATTCATAATAAATATAATTACACAATATTTGTCTTTGGAAATATTTATAGGAAGCGTATATAGCTGAACTAGATGCAAAATCTGGAGCATCATTAAAATTAACTGTGCTTAATCCAAAAGGTCGTGTATGGACAATGGTAGCTGGTGGTGGGGCATCAGTTATATATAGGTTAGTAATATAACATTATTAATTATTACTAATATTACCTATTTGCTTATTGACAGCGATACTATTTGTGATATGGGTTTCGCATCTGAATTGGCTAATTATGGTGAATATTCTGGTGCACCAAGCGAACAACAAACATATGAATATGCTAAAACAATTTTATCATTAATGGTTAAAGAAAAAACTCCCGATGGAAAAACTTTAATTATTGGCGGTGGTATTGCAAATTTTACAAATGTAGCAGCAACATTCAAGGTAATTCATATTAGTTTGTCTAGAAGATTTTACGGAATTCGAAAAACATAAAAGGAACTAAAAGTAGAATATTATTTATTTTAGGGTATTGTTAAAGCATTAAGAGAATATCGTGATCTCTTAATCGAAAATAAAGTATCAATATTCGTTCGTCGTGCTGGTCCTAACTATCAAGAAGGATTACGTGTTATGCGTGAAGTAGGCGCATCATTAGGCATTCCTGTTCATGTATTTGGACCTGAAACTCATATGACAGCTATTGTTGGCATGGCACTCGGTATTCTTTTCTTTTTTCTTTTATTATTTATTGTTGCAATTTTTCTATTACGATTCTTTCTTTCTTTTTATTTATTCAGGAAAACGTCCTATTGCTGCTCCAGAAGAAGTAGAACTAACAACAGCAAATTTCTTACTTCCAAGTAGTGGCAAGGTAACAATTTAGAAAACATGAAAAACGAATTTTTCAAAGTTTTATAGCTTTTTTGAATCTTCCTGTTAGAAAAATATTTTCTGAGATTTCTTCGCTCAGTATAAACACAGTGAGAATATAGAAAAATGCATTTGAATAGTAGGGAGGTGATGAGATGCTCAAAATAGCTACTCATACATAGTTTTCATGTATTTTTGGTCTATCATTATTGTATGTTTATATGCTTTATTCGGAATACATTGGTCAAACAATGTGAAATCAGTTTTGACCGATTATACATATCTCTTACTAATCCTAGTAGTAATCTTGATAGTTAACTATCAGTCTTATACTTTTTTTACATGTAGCTATTTTATAATCTAAATGTCGTTTTTTCTATCTAATAATAAATTTATTCTAATATTATTATTCTATTATAGAAAGGAGATGCTCGCGTTGCATCTGACACCGCATCAAGCACAACAGAAAAAGTGAACGGTGATGTTCTAAAAAATGATTTGAACCGACCACTCTTCACAAATGAAACTAGAGCTATTGTTTGGGGTATGCAAACTAAAGTATGTCATTCCAAAAAATACTAATATATCATATTAATTATAATCTATTATTTTCAGGCTGTTCAAGGTATGCTTGATTTTGATCATGTATGCCGTCGTACACAACCATCAGTTGTTGCTATGGTTTATCCGTTTACTGGTGATCATAAACAAAAATTTTATTGGGGTCACGAAGAAATTCTTTTGCCATGCTATAAAAATATGGCTGATTGTATAAAACGGCATCCAGAAGCGGATGTACTCATTAACTTTGCATCCCTACGTTCAGCATATGAAAGTACAATGGAAGCAATGAAATATCCACAAGTATGTTAATCCAATGGCAGTATAAGAACATAGAGAGAACTACCGTATTGTTTCTTTCTTTCTTTCTTTCTTTTTATTCAAATACATAGATTCGAACAATTGCCATTATTGCTGAAGGTATTCCAGAACAATTAACACGAAGTATGATACGTGTAGCAAACAAGCAAAACGTATTTCTTATTGGACCAGCAACTGTATGTAAACTTGTTTGAATTTTAGTTTTGTAAATTTATCTTTTTGACATCCAGGTGGGTGGTTTAAAAGCTGGTTGTTTTAAAATTGGACACACTGGAGGCATGCTCGATAATATTCTTATGTCAAAACTTTATCGACCAGGCAGGTACGTCATGATAGTTGAATATTTACTTTTAAGAATACAAGAAAATAAATCTATTTATTTTAGTGTTGCATATGTTTCTCGGTCAGGTGGCATGTCCAATGAATTGAATAATATTATTGCTCGTAATTCCGATGGTGTTTATGAAGGCATTGCAATTGGTGGTGATCGGTAATTTGAAAATTATTTTACTTTTATGTATATCTAGTTCTAATATACAGATGATTGATAAGAAAGAGACACAATATTTCTTACACTTAATTTCTTAATTAATTATAATAAATGATTTCTAATTTTTATTTTAGTTATCCTGGTACGACATTTACAGATCATATCTATCGGTATGAAGGTGATCCAGAAGCTAAAATAATTGTTCTTCTTGGTGAAGTATGTTTTCCAGCGTATCAATAGAAAAAAGTTCTAAATCGTAATTTTTTAAATAGGTTGGTGGTATTGAAGAATATCACATATGTGAAGCTATTAAATCGAAACGTATCACAAAACCATTAATTGCCTGGTGTATTGGCACATGTGCATCTATGTTTACATCTGAAGTTCAATTTGGTCATGCGGGTTCACATGCAGATAATGATCGTGAAACAGCTGTGGCCAAAAATAAAGCTTTACGAGAAGCAGGTGCACATGTACCAAATAGTTTCGATGAACTTGGCGACTTAATTCAGTATGAAACAAAAAAAAATAGAATTTGATACATAACTAGGTGTATTTGATTATTCAGTAAGGTATTTGGAGATCTTGTACAAGCAGGTCAATTCAAGCCCAAACCAGACGTAGTACCACCTTCAGTGCCAATGGATTATGATTGGGCTCGTGTATGATTTAGTTTTATGAATTTGAAGTTGTTTTTTTATTTTTGCATTATTTTCTTAGGAGCTTGGTTTAATACGAAAACCAGCAAGTTTCATGACAAGTATTGTTGATGATCGTGGCCAAGAATTATTATATGCTGGTATGCCCATTACTGATGTTATTAAAGAAGACATGGGTATTGGCGGTGTACTTAGTTTACTCTGGTTTCGAAAACGGTGCGTTCTACTGTTTCCCTGCATGACCTAAATGTTTTTGTTTCAGGTTACCAAAATATGCTACAGATTTTCTTGAAATGACACTTATGGTAACAGCTGATCATGGGCCGGCCGTTAGTGGCGCACACAATACGATAGTATGTGCACGTGCTGGTAAAGATCTTGTTTCATGTTTGGCTTCTGGTCTACTAACAATTGTAAGAAATAATTGATAGGAAATTTGCTTTTTACATTTAGCGAAATATTTAGGGAGATCGTTTTGGTGGTGCACTTGATAATGCTGCTAAACAATTTAGTGAAGCATTTGACACTGGTTTACATCCATCTGACTTTGTCAATAATATGCGTAAAGAAGGAAAATTACTTATGGGTATTGGGCATCGTGTTAAATCAGTATGAATTCCTTTTAGAAAATATAAAATTTAATTACTCATATTGATATTTAGTTAAATAATCCCGACATGCGTGTTGTTCTTCTGAAAAATTTTGCTAAGCAACATTTTCCAACAACTCCACTACTTGATTATGCACTTGAAGTAGAAAAAATTACTGTTAGCAAGGTAATATTATCGAGAAAAGTTAATGATATCATTTTTATCAGATGTCAATCTGAGGCATAATCGACTTGATGTCATATTAGAGACACTCAAAAATAGATTTCGATATCAAATTAGAGTGTCAAGCAAGTAGTTTGTTTTCTAGCTTCTGTAGAGTCTTCAAAATGGCTACTTTTCAAGGTTTTCCTAATTTCTGTAAAAATAAATCGAGAATATCGTCGAGTCGAATGAAATCAAACTAAGCTTTATCACGCAATATTTTTATGAATTTGAAAATTTGTGTTGCTTTTTCAGAAGCCTAATTTAATCTTGAATGTTGATGGTTGTATTGGTGTTTGTATGGTTGATCTCTTACGCCATTGTGGTTGCTTTACACTTGAAGAAGCCACTGAATTTGTTGATGATGGCGCACTTAATGGACTTTTTGTTCTTGGCCGTAGTATTGGGTTTATCGGTAAGTCATTTCTGACAAAAAAAAAACATAGTTAAAAGTTTCGTATCTATTTATTTTAGGTCATTTTCTCGATCAAAAACGTCTTCGACAAGGTCTCTATCGTCATCCATGGGATGACATATCGTATGTCTTACCAGAGGCAATGTAAAAGTTAAATTTTTCAATTATTGAAAAATTGACATTTTTTGAATGTTGTCTGTGTAAGATGTTTAGTTACATTCCTAATTGTAATTCAATATTTACTTCTATTTCTATACTTTGTATTGACAATGAGATCTCGCCTAGAGCAAACTTATCTTTTTTGTTTTATTTCTTCGGATATCCCTGTGGCATTCTTTAATCATTTCTTGTTGCTTACTGTTCTCGTTTCCATTGCTAGAACTTCCATTGATTGTCTTTGACTTTTAACAATTCAATCTCATGATCACTCTCATACATATCATACTTGATAAAAAAAATATCAAGGTTCTCTGTCGCATCATTTTATCGATATTAGCTATATACTCTTAATTCGTGTTATTCTGTCTAGTGTTCCGTCGTCATTTTATTTATGGTCTAAGAAATAACAAATAAAACAAATAAAATAAAAATATTGGCACGTCAATTGCATAATGGATGACTGGGAAAATAATTTATTGATAGATAGTTCTGGCGTCGGTTTTAAATTTTGATATGTTGTTTGATTACATTAGTTTTTTCTTGAAAAAAAAGCAGCTTTTGAATTCAATATAAGTGAAAGATAAACATTATGTACAGTTTTTGCTGAAATTATCTTAATTAGAGTATGGTCTATTGAAATTAAACAATGGTCACGTAAGAAAAAAAAGGGGGACTTCTATTTAAAAGCTTTGATTCAACTGAATACGAAAGTTTTGGTGATCATCAAAATTTTTTATATCTATACGCGTTTATAGAAATAGAACAAGTCAAATTAGATGAATGCATAGTAATAACTGTTGAACAAGAACATTATTAGCAGTTATCATGTTGCAAAATATTGATAAATGGTAGCAGATACGAAGAATCTATTCAAAATGCACAATGACTACTAGCCCATCATTTTTATTTATAGCAAGAGATATTCTCTGAATTTTGTAAGACAAACTATCATTCATTGATAAATAGGTTTTTCTAGTCTGCAGCAAATTGAAATGTTTTTGTTCAATTGTTACAATATCTTAAAATATATTTGATTCTACGCAACTATATCATAGTTATCACTATTTCCTTTATTGTTACTACCGATTTTAAGTACAAAAATTATTTGAATAATTTCGTTTCTTCGATAGTATCGCAACGTCATCATACACATTTTTTTTTACATAAATTTGTACTTAAAACAATTATAGCTATAATAAACAAACAAAAATAGATTATTCACAGGTTAGATAATAGTTGAATATTCGTTTCTTTAGCACTGCTCGGGTATACACTTTCGCAAAATAATATATATGCAGAATGTGCCAATTGCCGCATTCAAATTTTTATGCTTCAAAAAAAATAAAAAAGAAGATTAATTTGATTTTTCAATTGGCGGCCCATCTTCTGTTTCGGTATTTAATGCAGCTGGATCTTGATTTGAATCAAGCTTTTCGATTGGATTCTGTTGATCATCATTATGTTTACTTTCATCGATTTCTTTTGTTGTGCGTAATTCTTTTTCATAGCGAATGAGTTGTAAAAAGAACGACAAGTTCGGTGCAGCAACACGTCGTTTTTCAATCAAATAATCATAAGCTTTCAATAACGAATCATGATGATATCTTAATTTCAAAAGCAAAAAAAGGAAATAGTAAATGAACATTAATTTTCGTTTACTTCATTAAATAAGCCAGAACAACTGATGATGAACGCGATATTCCCATTTGACAGTGAACTAAAACTTTCTCATTTTTTTCTTTGCATTCATGTAAAAATTGATTGGTTTCTTCAAAATATTTTCTTATGTCAACACGGAGTTCATCATTTATATTAACCCACAGAACATGAAATTTGTCTAATACCCCTTGGTCTAATTCGCAATCACATATATCAACTATATGTCGAATACCAAGTTCATTCAATAATTTTATATTTGACGCATGACCTAAATCGCCATGATAAAGAAAATCATCAATAACTACGGATGGGGAACCATAGATATGCCGAGGACTATCCAATGATTTAAGTTTCTGTTCTCGAAGATTTAATAGTTCTTGAAGATAAAGTAATTCTTCATCTGTCGCATTAAATGTTTCTTTTAAGTAGTCTCCCATAACCCTAACAGATGAATGAAACATGTTTGATGATAAATGCTTACAACTATAAATATGATCTGTAATCTTCTGTGTTTTTATATTTCGATTTGGTTATGACTGTTCTTCGATATCTAGAATTCAGTCGAATAGTCAAAAATTGTGATCTTATAAATATATTTTTGAAAAAGGGGATACAAATTGAAAAAAAAAACTTTCATATGTTATACTTTCGAGAACATGTTTTACTCAAGTTGTACACAAACATAGAAGCAACGTAAGAAAAATCAAGCTAAAATCTATTAAAATTTCAATTTTAGCCTTCATAAGGTATTGCTAGCTAGCATAGTGAACAAACTTGAAAAAAGAAAAACATATTCAAGTATTAGTATGACAATATAAAGAGATGCTGTTAAATGCAAATGTTAGCTTGCTACATAACAGAACAAGATGAACTCTTGTCTGGTTCTGTCACAGCTTCAACGTCACGACCTTGTGCAGCATTTTTAACTTCTTCCACAACCTAAGCAAAATAGACTTATAACTGTATTTAAATCAATATAAACTTACTTTATCGAATGCAGGAAAATGACCACTATCCAGTTTTGAATAGACGAGTTTATCGTTAATGGTCACTTCAAATGAGCCTGAGATACGAGAAAAATAATAAATAGCGAAAGACAATTCAAATAAATCTACTTACTGGGTCGTCCAACTTTTCCAGTTACGGTAGCACCTGGCACGCGTTTAAGAATATCTTGACGCAATGCTTCGTACCGTGGTTCGTACCCTCATCGTCCGCAATATTCCACATGAACAACGACTGGCTGGACCATATTTTAGATAAAATTAATTCAAATATGAGTTTATCAAAAGTATCTATAAAAGAGAAAAGTATAGAGTAACAGAGGCATGTGACATTTATTATTATTATTATTACCTTCACCTATTTAAGGTTAAACAAGCGTTACCTTGCCATTATATAGTCAGCGAAAAAAAAGCAATTATGTAAGTGCATTTCATTAATACTAGCGAATCATTAAAAATGCTTTACCAGATGGCATACCAAGACAGCCAATAAAAAATAAAGACAGAAAAAAATGTGTGGAGCTCGACTAAATTTAACTCTTCGTAATTGACTTTTTTTTGTTAAAGAACAGAGCTAAAAAACCATTCTTTTTGCTTCGAACACGTTTCTATTAACAGCCGTGCCAAGTTATCTTTGACGCATTGAAAAGAAAAGTTTCTCGATGCATCTTCTTCAATTACGGTCTTCCATATCCCGACAGTCTAACTTATGTGTCTCGAGCGTGATTTATGAAAACCGCTTTGTTTATAATAAGCATGATTTTTCAAAGCTTATAATTTATTTTGATTTTCACATTGTTGAGTCTTTTCCGAAGAGATCGAACAAACAAGTTTATTGAAATTTTTGATTGCACCGAAAAAAACAAGTTTTGAAAAGTTAATTCATTGAATATAATTATCTAATAACCAGATGATACTTGTGAGTTTACAATTCTACTCATGCTAACAAGTGCAAACATTTTTATAAAACAGATATAACTTTTGGATTGTCTCAATATGTCAAACATATGGGAAACATAAAAATTGATTTGATTTATTCTTCATTAAATTGTCAGCAGTAGACATGTAGACATTAAGCAAGCTCTAAAGTATTTGGCATAGCATATGGTTTTAATATATTTCAAAGTTTACTGAAAACATATTTAGCAAATTTTATAGATTTCCATAAAATTCTTCCGCTTTGAATATTCAACGGTTTAAGAGTTAATCTAGTTGACTAATACAGATTATTCATTCAAATTGATAATCTTAAAATAAGATGATAAGTATAACAATTAATAGTCTATTAAAATTTGGATCGATTAAATTTTTATTTAGAAAGCAATATTTCATTATTCATACGAATACGAAATGTATCAATGAAAGTCAGTAAAATCAAACGTTACAGTGTCTAAAACAAAATAAAAGTTTTCTTTTTGACGAATTTATTGCTGAGCTACTGATATTTGAAGCTCGTTGCTTACTGTTGTTGGACCTATTTGTCGCTGTGGTCGACCGCATCGTAGTATTCGAGATGATGTTTTCCTCCAAACATTTAAAAAACGTCGATCAATAAACATAAAAATAAGAGGGTCACATAAGGCACTTGCTATGCTGCCAAAACGTGCGTAAATACTTGGCTCAAATATCGATAAAACATAAGATGCCACAACGTTAGGTGTCCATAATATCAACCAAAAAATGTAAAGAACAAAAAATTGAACTAGTAATTGTAAATGTTTAGTACGCTACGAATAAAAAGCATCAACGAAAGAATATATTTATTTAAACAAAAAGATGAATTTTTCTCTTTTACTTGTGATCGAGCAGCTAGTTGCGATTGACGAACATGAATGGTTGTTACTATCATGAAATAACAATTTAAAATAACTGGAATAAAAACAACAATGAACAAATTTCCAAAACCAGTTTTAATATCTTCATAGTCCAAATGGCAACTACCATTATTTTGATATTCATGTAATTGAACTATGCCAAATAATTTTGTTTGAATCAATAAGATAGCTATTCCAAATAAATATAAGCATACATTGAAAATAAGAAGAATAGACGGATATCGAGAAGCTATATTGAAATTTTTTACAATCAAATAGTAACGTGTAATATTTAAACAAACTAACATATAAGCTTCAAGTACAGTCATATACGAATTTGCGTATGCTTCAATCGCACAAAGTACATTGAAGATGGCAGGTGAAACACACCCTGACATAGTACGAGTTGAATACTCAACAAAGAGTTGCACAAGTAGAAGAATATCCGTAATAAGATAATTATATACCCAAAGCATAGACATTTGACGAAGTGCTGGATGCGTAGCTACCTGTATCCAGAATAACACATGAAATATAAAAGCAGGTATAGCTAGAGCAAGATAAATTCGACCAATTTGACGCAGGTTTAGGGGCCATGTCATATTATAGCATTCTAAAGACATTTTCCAGTGATAATGTTGAGAAAATTGAAAATGTGATTTCTTTTTTATCATACTCATATCTATTTACTTATGATAATTGATTTCAGTTCCGTTAAATACTTTATAAAAAAGTCTCGAAAGAAGATATTGCTTTCAAAGCATCATTAGCAAATAGTGACATCAGAGAAAAATAATGTACTCACTAAAAATAGTAAAGAAAAACAAGTTGATTCAATAAAGTGTGATCGAATTATTTTGCTGCATACGTATTATGCATGTGTTTTAACTTTTGTGACAAGATCAAAAAGAATAGTGACGATCGTATTATGGAAATTCATCAATATCTAGAGTCACTCTGCATGTTGGTTTGTTTTATCAGAATGAAAGACTTTTCAGAAATCTCCTGTCTATTCACTATTATTTTGATTATATCATTTGAAAAATCACGTTAGTCTTTATGAATAGAACTCATTGTGATTATTATGTCTGCTGCTAACAACTTACAATTTATTTCATAATAAGTTATGTGTTTTAATAGGAAAATCAAGGGCATATTTTTGAAAATGACCTCAGTTGCACTTTATTTATAACAAAGAAAATATACATAGAATGGTAAAAAAAATGATCATCTCCACAAAGAAAAAACCGTAGTATTGCATTTTTTCACATTAATTCCAATGAGTTACGTTTTCTTATTGAAATTACCGTTAAGTTCAATTTCTAGTAGATTTTCTGTAATTGTTGATTAGTTGCAAACTAATGGAAATAAATGTATGTTTTATTTTCTTGTTTATCATAGATAATAATAAAGAAAACAGTATCTATTTTTTGAAAAATCAACTCAATGGTGTTAATTTACAGCCTAATAAACCATTTCCAGACCATTTTTTTGGTGTTAATGTCAATGTCTGCTGTTCTTTTGTATTGACACGTTCAACAAATAATGTAATTGAACGATTTTCACTATTGTTTACAAGTGCTGCGACATCTTGCATCGTACGAAAATTATCTTTACGAATTGTACCAATGCGACAAATCAAATCACCAACATGTAGATCAGCTAGTTCAGCAGGTGATTGCTTACTGACAATATCAACACGTAAAAATGGCTCTTTTTTAGGTAAATTAGCATTGCTCGGAGGAGCAGTTGTTATCGCATCAGTAGTATTCGATGGATTTTTGATAGTACTTTCATGAACTTGTATCAGGCCATCTTCGATTTGTTTCATCAATGTTTTATGATCATTTTGTAAGCAGATAACTCGCTGTCGTATTTGACGTACTCTAACAAGATCAATATCATTTCTGAAAAAGAATAAAAAAAACATTTTTGTGTTAGCTTTGTTTGCAAAGAAAAAAAAACAAAGCATTCAATTAATGCTATTTACCTAGGATATCCTTCTTTATCGACAAGTTCACCTGTCATTCCAACATTATTTTGTAGTTTAAGTTCATTTCCTAATTCAAGTAATTCTTTTTCAATATCATCTTTTTGTTTTATTAATTCGAGTAATTCTTCTCGATTCATATTAAATCTAAAAATCAAAGAAAAATCGTGCAAGAAGCAAAAATAAATAGGTCACTGTAGAAAAAGATGAACAATATCATACAATTCAGATGAATATGATAGTAAATTTAAAAAAATAGATCAGTGTCACGGAATGAAAGAAAAAAATAAATCACAGGCGAAATTATCAACAGTTTTTATCCAATCCATTTTCGTTCAAAATTAAAATTAAATGATTGTTTAACTGGTGCACGTGGTGTATATGATCCAGGACCGGGTCGCTCAGCTGCTATCGCTGTGTCGATTGCCCAACGACTTGTAGTTGAAACAAATGCAGCTGATGACATATATTTTTTTTCGACACCTTTATAGTCACGAAGCTCATAAGCACCTGGACCAGGGTATGGAGGCTCAGGAGATGGTGGAACAGCTGGAGCAGAAATAGCCAAATAATGATGACGTCTTCAAAGAAGAAGTTATTTTTCATTTAAAAACTAACGAGAATTTATGTTTTAATAACATACGGAAGCACGTTTCGAGGAGATTCTTCAGTTAATTTTTCAAATGGTCGATAATCAGCTGGACCTGGAAGCTAAACGAAAATAAAAATCGGAATAGTATCAATATTGCTTTTGAATTTTTAATACTGGATCAGACGATCGAACGCTAAATGCATCACGTTTAGAATTCGATTTAAAACTAGATTGATGAACATGTCCTGATGTTCGTGTAGCAGAATCATCCAAATTATATGCACCTTAAATATACAATAGAATTATTATTCATGTATTATATTTATATAGATCAAACGAAGGAAAAACAGCTACAAACCTGGAGCTGGTGTCACAAATTGTTTACCAATACCATCAGATCTTTTTGTATGTGATCGAAAAGCGGCTTGAGCACTAACATTATTTGATTTAGTTATTGTTTTATACCCTTGATTAATCTATTCAAAAAAAAGTAAATAATTGAAACAAAACGAAAAGAGAAAAATAATACTTTATCGACGTCATATTGATTTGGAGCTGGTACCAATGATTTTGGCGATAATGGCCGTTCTGCAATTGGCTTTTGAAACATACTGGAATATTTTGATCTATTAAAACCTTGATGTTCATTATCAAATATGCCAACAATATTATAGCTTGTAGGTGCTGGGACATTTGGTGATTGATTCATAGAATTATCTCGTTTACTCTACATATCAATAGGAAAAAAAATATGTATATTTAGAGAGAGAGAGACAAGACAAAAAGAAGCAATATGAATCACCTTCGAAGCAAAACTACCAGAACCTTTCTTTGAATCAGAAGTTCTTTCTAGTTGTTTACCTAATGATTGAACTGTTTGATATTGACCAGGACCGGGTGTGAAATTCTACAATAAAAAAAATGGAAATCTTCTAGATAAACACATTTATAACTTACTGCATCATATTGAAAACGTTTAGCAGTTTGTTGAAAACCTTGTTTTTCAGCATTACTTGAAATAATAGTTAAATAACGATATGGAATCGACGGAGTACCCGCTGCACAAACAGTATATCCTTAAATAAGACAAAAAACAAATAGAAAAAATTCAAAAAGCGTTTTATTCGAATTCCCACGAGAAAATTATCTAAACTGCTGCTATGTAGAGTAAGAGAGCAAAGCAAAAATACAAACCTTATTTTTGAAAAAGCTAAATGTTGATAATAAGAAATGTATAAAAACAAATTAATAGATTTTTTAAAATAAATCACCTCGATGAACCTTGTTTGATTCAGATGGTATATATCTAGATCTTTGTGATAGATTTCCTTTGGTGATACTGTCTGTTCCAGCCATCGTCATTTTTGACATTCTCCAACTTTCTGTTTCGAACTTATCTAGAATGAAATTAAAGCTGTTAATTTTTTATTCTTATTGTTTAGTATGAAATTAAAGAATAATACCCTGTACACTTAAATTGAAGTATAAACAGAAGCATTTTTATGATAAAAATGCATTTAGTTGATATTTCAACTTTCAAGTGCACCATTATAGTAGCTATCTGATAGCCTAATTCATTCATGTAAAACGAATAACGGATGAATCACCGATGGATTAAACTATTTCTTTTTGTGTCTTTTTAGTGAATCGTTTAGCTTGAATTTTTGTTCTTTTCTTTTTTTTAAAGTTCTATTGTTTTCATAAATTCGATGATATTGTAACCCAGACGTTTCATCAACGAATAAATAATATCATTGCAATGTCCATATAAAAGTTAAGATATTTAAAAAATTTTCCAAGACATTGCAATTGTAGCTCAAAATATATGCTCAGCAGAACGGAACTTGTATAGAAACTAAAATAGTTACTTAGGCTCAGAAGTATTTTGCATTTAAGAAAACACATTCTAGCTTTCCTTCTGCTACGTAAATGAACAGTTATTAGTAAATTTTATAAAAAAAATTCATAACTGTGTAAGTCTAAAACAAGATACCGATATTATCACAATGGTTCGTCTATGTAGTATATGTATTAAAGGCGTTTGAATTCAGTTTTAAAATAGAACACATAATTTAATATAAAATATAATAATACAATAGCTCAAAATTTTGTCTATTGATGTACGACCAAACGATACTTTCTATGCAAATTGGTATGGTGTTTGGATTGCTTCATAGAGTCATTTAGAAAAAAAAATCGAAACTCAACAGTATTATTTATATAGAATATTCTTTAATTGACAAGGTAGTCTATAGGTTAGTGATACTTCTCTTAAAGATATTTATAGAGGTTTAGTGAACTCTCCACAAACGGCTGCAATTGAACGACTTTTGCTTTTTCCTTGTGGATCTACTTCAGTGAGAGAAATAAAAAATACCTTCAAACTATTGACGTCTATAGTAAAACAAAGTTTTGAGTAAAGGAATAGGAAAAAAATTCATTTATTTTTCATTTGTTTCACACTCGCACGTGCTTGTCTATATGATTGTAAACAAAAGTAAACTTAATCAAGATTTAAAAAAAAAATAAGAACTTACTCTTTTTTTTGTACAATACAAGCTATGCTTCATAATTAATTACTAGGGTACTATTAGAAATATATCGAATTACATACTCAGTCAAAAGTATTCATACGTATTAAAGATAAAAACTCTCCTCGCAATCCCAATCAAAATAAAATTTAAAACACGATGAAACTACTGTAACTATAAAACAGATAACTCTGAAAAACATATTTTGGTTCATGTACTACTACCTGCTATTAATGTAAGTGTATCGACGATGAAAAGTGTTAGGCGTAACATAACTCAATCCATATGAAAGAATCAAATTTGTAGATGATATGCCGATTAGACACATGTGGCAAGAATCGTAAACAAGTAGACAAATGATGGAAAAACAAAAAATTTAGTTTGTGCTCTTATGTTCCGAGAAGTACAATGTACAATCAACTTGGATGATAGCATATCAGAAGAACTGTATTAACACACAACTTGTTATCAGAACTGTTATGTTCTTTTCTAGTTTAACCATTGCTATGTATCTATTGCAAGAAAGAAGTCGAAATTTCTACCCATAAACTCCCATTTCGCTTTTAATCTGAACTTTACGAAAAAAATATTGATTATTTTCGAAAACATAAAAAACTAAAGTCAATAGCATCTTGATTCATCGCTGATTTCGATGACAATTAAAAAAAACGAATGCGCCTACATCGAAATCTCAACAACTGGCATTTTTAATATGAATCTTGTGAGATGCAAACAAATGCAATTCTAGGCGCTACTTTGAGCTGACTTATGATAAAGTAATCATGAAGAAAATGATTAGTAATAGCCAAGGAAGATAAAGCAAAATCAGAATACTATGAATAGATGAAGTCAATGATGGTAAATAAAAATGCAATAGGCGTGCAGTGTAAATAAAAAATATAATGAGAATTGAACGAGTTCTTGTAACCAAGGAAGTTGAAATATATAAATAAGCACCAAAAGATATTTAGATAAGAATTTAGTCAAGATATGAGTAAGTATATACATACCAAGAAAGAAGAGAGAATATAGAGGATAACTAATGTAGTAACATAAGCGACATGGATTTTATATTAGTACCCAAGTTTTCTTTTTTGAGAAATATTTCACTGTTTTCTTAGCACATGAATACAGAGAAACGCTTAACAAATCGAGTATCGATAGAAAAGTCACTGTTTCGAGAACAACAAGAAAAATAAAAGTTTACACATCTGTCGTGTAAGACAGAACGAAAAAATAAACAACATGCTTTGTAAGACAAACTTTTTTCTACAAGAAACAATCATTAACATTTATTTGACTATTGAATTTGATAGATTTCAATCAAAGTACCGAAGTGAATACAGAGTATTTTCTATCTTTTGAAACAATCTGACACGAGAGTTGTTAATTCAGAAGAAAATAAAACCGAAAAATCTAATTCTACCCAACTATACTATATACGCATCGAATCTATGGCTGTTGAATGGTCAAAAAAAAAGATTAAACATACTGTTTAACATGACTATTATCTCATAGGCTAGTTTTTTAAATACGAAAATCATTCATTTTTTCTTTCACTCGTAAATGCACGTAAAACATATTTTTATGCTTTCAAAAACACTTCTTCCCTTCTAGAATACTTCATTCTAAAATGCTCTCCCATTCAACTATTATAAACTTTTAATGTTTTGAATGAAAGTTGTAAAGTAACTATTTGTTAACCCTTATAGAAACAATAAAATAAATATTAAAAAAAAATACGAGTCTCTAAAGAAAAATATATCATTATATGACGAAGTTTCCATAGTAAAAACTTCTTGACTCTGTGTAAAAATGCTAAAACTTCGATGAAAGTTTTTCAATGTAATCCTTACTGGTAAAGATTGTTCATAAATCTGATTGTTTTTTTCTATTCAAAAGGGTTCCTTTTTTTTATAATTTCAATGCTCATGAAAGAAATGTTATGTGTTGTTCGTGTTGTCGATACTTATTTATAACTCAATCACGATTTGCATTAAACGAGAGGTCGTTTCCGGCAACGTTCATTGGATGGGTGCACGTGTTTGAATACTGAAAAAAATTCCATGTAAAATAATATCTCGTTTAGTTTCATTAATCCTTACGTTGAGATTCACATTCACGGAAACGTTCAAGTTGCAGTTAGAATTTTTCAACTTCGTTTTCAAAATGTATTTTGTATCGATGTCATTTCTGATGTTCTCTCATGTTATCCTGTTACTGGATAACCGTTTTTATTTTAGCTTTTGTTGATTGAATACACTTAAAAGATCTTAAATATAATGATCAAATAAATTCTATTTTGTAATAACTAAAATTTCTGATCAATATAAAAATAAATTCATAATCATAATTGTAAAGTGAAACTTAACAAGAATCGTGCCATTCATTCAATTTAATTTTGTATCTGAAGACATTATTATTTGTTGTTTTATTAGCCAATCACAAAAATAATTGATTAGCTGATTCCATTGGCTAAATGTTTTAAACAATAAGATTTGATTCTCTGTTTGCATATATGTACGAAGAATCGCTGCAGCATGTATCGTTTTGGAAGAATTCTTTTGAACCATCAAAAGTATTCATCATTTTATCTTCCACTGTTATCAACAAAAACTGAACAGTATTCCAATCGAATAAATTCAACGGTGCCATTTACTTTAATTTTTGCAGCAAGTTCCTTAAGTTTTTATGAAATCTATAAACGTTATCGTTTGTATGCAGCATCGACTAATGAAACAATAGCTTCCACACCAAAAGGTCCATTACTAGTCGATGCGCAAAAACCGTTGGTTGAAAAAATTCCTTATTCAAAACAATATAATTTCATCGCTGATGTTGTCGAACATGTTGCGTCTGCTGTTGTTCACATCGAAGTTGATCTTGAACCCATGCCATATTTTGGACATTATAGTTCGTCAATTGGTACAACAAATGGTTCAGGTTTTATCATTAATGAAACAGGATTACTATTAACAAATGCACATGTTGTGAGAAATAGAAAAAATGTTAAAATTAAATTAGCCGATGGGCAACGTTTTACTGGAACCGTCCAATTTGGTAAAACAAAGAAGAAAGAATCAATCGTAAAATTTTGTTCAAAATATTTATTTTTCATTTTAGTTGATATGGTGGCAGACTTAGCCGTCGTACAAATCGACTCGAATAAACAAAAATTACCTTATTTAAGTTTAGGCGATTCTGATAAAATACGTGCTGGTGAACATTGTATTGCTGTTGGTAGCCCACTAGCCTTATCAAATACGGTAACGGCTGGTATTGTTTCAAATGTAGGTCGAACAAGTAGTGAATTGGGTATATTTGGACGTGATATAAATTATATTCAAACCGATTGTATGATAACAGGCGGTAATAGTGGTGGTCCACTTGTTAATCTCGATGGAGAAGTTATTGGTATTAATTCAATGAAAGCGATGACTGGAATTTCATTTTCTTTGCCAATTAATTATGCAAAATTATTTTTAGCTGATATCGAAAAGAAAAAATTGAAACAGTCAACAACAAAACCAACAGCATCAGCAACTAGTCGTCGACAAACACGTTATTTAGGTATTAAAATGTTTTCATTAACACCTCAAATTGTTGAAGAAATGCGTTATCGAATGCCAATGACATTTGCAGTAAGTAAAGGCGTATATATTGCTAGTGTAATGTTAAATTCAACTGCACAACGTGCTGGTCTTCAACCTGGCGACATTATTATTGAAGTAAACGGACATGATATTGAGACATCTGCAGATCTAATTAAACATGTTCAAGAAGATGAAACATTAAATTTAAAAGTTGTCCGAAATAATGGACTTGTATTTAATATTTTAGTCACACCTGAATCTATTGAATAAGGTGTTAATCGAATTTTTCTGTTTCTAGATGAAATATTAATTTAGGTTTTCGGTAAACAAAAACAAATAAATATGCAAGCAATGAGATTTTTACCTTGGATTCGACGATCATACACAAATCTACATGTAAATCGATTTCTGTAAGTTTCATAATCGAAATGTTCTGCAGGCTTATTGCTATGATTTTTTTTTGACGAAAGAAAAAAATATATACACAATAGTTAACTTTTGAAAATAGTCAAAAGTTTGAAGTTAACATGTGCGAATATTCCAACTATAATATCAGTTGTAGTTTATGAATATCTTTTTTTATAATTTTTAAACTAAAATCTCTAGATCACAAATGTTTTGAATTGATTGAGAAAATATTGTATATTATTGGAAATCAATCTAGGATATTTTTATTCAGATAAATCTCGCTAGTTGATAATAACAGTGTATTCATGATTCTTTGCTCATTTTCAACTAGAATTTAAATAAAAATTCATTCTATATGCGAAAAAAATTAATTGTTAATTTTATTTTGAATGTATCCTTTTTTGTTTTCTTTTTTTTCTAACCGTAAGATCAAACAGTACAAAACCAAATAAAGAAGTAACTCAACAAGTCCGTCCCACATCTGAAGAATCTAATATTGTACGCAAAGATCGTCCACGTCTAGAAGAAGAAGGCTTAGAATATGAGTTTAAAAATGAATTAGATGTTTTACGTCATAAAGAACGTTTAACAGTTGATTCAACCAATACACAATATATGACGATTGTATTTAATGGAGAATACGATCGAGATATATTAACATATCCTGAATTGTTAACTAAATCAGAATCAACTCAAATGAATACATTATGTGAACGCTTAAAAACATTTACAGATTCAATAGATCGAAATAAAATTGAAAGAGATAATCATATTGATAAAGATATTTATAAAGAAATGTGTAAATTAAAATTACATGGATTAATTATACCTGAAGAATTCAGTAAGAACTATTTATTAGAATTTTTGTTCGATTGTAAATGTGTTTTTCAATAGATGGTCTTAGTCTAAATAGTCAATTGTCTGTACGTATGTTTGAAGAATTAGCGGTTAGTCCAACAATTACTACTCAATTATTAGCACATACAGAATATGGTGTTAGAAGTAAGTTTTTATTGAATATTTTTAAACAAAACACAACTATCGATTGTTTCCAAGGTTTACTTGTCTATGGTACGGATGAACAACAACGTTATTATTTACCTGAAATGGCTAAAGGTAATATGATCGCAACAGCTTGTATAACAGAAGCACAAAGCGGTAGCGATATAAGAAATATTGAAACAACAGCAACTGCAAGTGATACAGATCCAAATACATATACAATCAATGGAAAAAAGATGTGGGTTACCAATGGACTCAATGCTAATGTATTTCTTGTTTATTGTAAAACAAAACAACGTCATACATCTGATGATTATGATGATCGTTTTTCATTTTTTCTTGTTCATCGTGATATGCCGGGTGTTTCTATATCACCAGCCATATCGACACTTGGTTTACGTGGTCTTGGTTTAACACATATTGAATTTAAAGATGTAAAAGTTCATGCCGGAAATCATTTAGTAGGACAATTGGGTGAAGGATTAAACATACTAAGAAATTTACACGGCTATGTACGAACAACGCTTGCAGGTTAGAAAAATGTCGTTTCATTTGTATTCTATCTTGATAGTAGAATTTTTTTAATATTCCACTATTCAACTAAGAACTCGAATTGTTTCTGAATATGAAATAAAAAGTTTTACTTTAATAAAAAATTTCAGGCATGTGTGTTGGCGTTGGTAAACGTCTAATTCAATTAGCATCTGAACGCGCAATTCAACGTGAATCTTTTGGTCGCAAATTAATGGATCAAGGTTTAGTTCAGAAACGTTTATTTCATATGGAAATTGATACTTATACAATGGAATCAATGACATACTTAACAAGTGGTATACTAGACTCATTTTCTATGCCAGTTATTTCAATTGAATCAGCATTAACGAAAATCTTTGCTACAGATCGTCTATATCGTGTAGCAAATGATTGTTTAGAAATATTTGGTGTCGAAGGCATTGAAATAGGTCATCCAGTTGAACAATATCTACGCGATATACGTCCATGGTCTATGTTTGATGTACCAAATGATGTTTTACGTTTATTAACGTCATGGGAAGGTGTGATGAGTGTTAGTACAGTTGTTCATGATTTTGTACGAAAAATTCGAAATCCAATTCATTTTCCTGGAACAAAACTAAGACATTTACTAACTGGTTGGACTGCGCAAGCACAAGCAATGCGTGCACCATTTAGTTTTAAACATGATCTCTGGGAAAAAGTAAGTATTCATATTAAAGAAAAGGCTATCTTTTCTTCTTCTACAGATTATCGATTTCCCTTTTCAATACATTTAGGTTCACCCAACTTTAGGTATTCCAGCAAAAGATCTTGAATATGCTGTATTTGTTTTACGAAATGTAACGAAAGAAACATTAACAAAATCTGGTCGTGATATTATCGATAATCAATTATATCTTAGACGTTTATCTGAAATAGTTATGGAAATCTATGCAATGACAGCAATGTTAGGTCGTTCATCACGTGCATATTCGATTGGTTTGAAAAATTGTGAACATGAAACTGAAATGACTTTTCTGTATTGTAAACATGCACGTACAAGAATTGATAAATTAGCCAAAGAAATTCATGAACATGGACATCAAACAGGTGACGAACATTTACAACATTTAGCTAAACGAGTAAGAGCTCATTAATATTTAAAATTTAAAACAAATAGTAAAAACTTTGATATTTTGCTTTTGCCTAGATGCTCATAGCTAAAGGTTACTCAATAACAACACCACTTGAACGAACATATTAAATTTAAAAAAACGATTTTTTTTCAGTTGATAGGAAATTGAACGTGTTTTGTTTTCTTTGTTTTAAAAATATCTCAGTTTTTTAGATAGATTTATTTGCTGTAAAAAATATTAGATCATGGGTCGTCTAACTCCTGAAGTAATCGAAGCATCTCCTCAATATCTTAATCCTGTCGGTCAATATGAACTCAGTTTACGAGGTAAAGAAAATCGGAAATTGATTTGATAAATTGTAAAATTATGATTATTTTTATAGACTTGAAGATTCCTGTTGTGGAAAACTTGGGTGCAACACTAAATCAATTTGATACAATCGATTTTACAAATAATGATATACGTAAACTTGATGGTTTTCCATTTTTACCGAAATTAAAGACACTTTATCTTGCAAATAATCATATAGCGTAAGAAAAATCGATTTTAAATAAATTTATTAATAGATAGAGCTTCTCGTGTATCTAATGTCATGTACCGGTCTATATCATTAGAGAAAAGACAGAATTTTTAACTGTTCCAATATCAAGGATATCAATGAATAGTTCACGATGGTTTTCATCTGATTTTTATTGTTAAAAAATATTTTAGACGTATCGCTGAAAATCTACAAGAATATATTCCAAATTTGGATACATTAATGATTAATAACAATATGTTGCAAGAATTATCTGATATTGATCCACTTGCAACACTAACAAAACTGACTCATGTTAGGTAAGATTCATTGTTGAATAAATAAGAAGAAAAAAGTGAATTTCATGTTTTACTAGTTTTGCTCGAAATCCGATTGCGATGAAAAAGGATTATCGTCTATATGTTATTCATGCGCTGCCTCATTTGAGAACATTGGATTATAATGGAATTACTCAAAAAGTATTTATTTATTTTATTCCTATTGAATTGATTATTATTCACTCATCGCTTTCAGGAACGTGAAGCAGCTCGTAAAATCTTCAAATCCAAATCTGGTGAAAAAGCGAAGAACAAACAAAAAGGAACTAATACATTTGTACCTGGTGGTGAGTTAGCTAAACAACAACAACAAGCGCCTCGAATGACAAAAAAAGATGCAGATGCTATTAAAGTTTTTATTAAATATTCTTTTCTTTTTGCACTTCTCATAATAAAATGAATAAACTTCTAGAAAGCTATTCAGGAAGCTAAATCAATAGACGAAGTGGAAAGATTAAAAACAATGTTACAATCTGGTCAAATGCCGCATTCCGTCGAACAAAAACAACATCAAAATGGTCATAAAACAAATACTGAAGCGATGGAACAAGAGCAAAATTTAGGTAATCAGCATTCTCCATGAAGCTATATATCAATTTGCTGTTTTTTATTCTAGGAAATACTTCCATGGAAACATGAGTGATGTAGTGTTCTAAAAACTTCTTTTTTTACGTATCGTTATTGTTTTGTTCGTTCGTTATTGTTCATCTTCTTCTGTATACATGCCCGATGAGAGCAAAAAAACTTGTTTATTCATTGTTTTTCAGATAGAAAATAAAACAAAGTATGGTGACGATTGAGACCAATGTCGTTCTAAACTTCGATTCTACATGAAAGAAAAATATTTTCAAACTATTGACCAAGCACAAAATCACATGTCTGCAATTAGTTTAATCAATCAGAATAAATAAATCTTATATAAAAAAAAAAAAACTTTGAAAAAGATTCGATGAATTTATTCTTGCTTAGTAATGTATGTAGCTGATGGTCATGTTGTAGATTGATGTCACTATATATGCAATTTGTTGTAGATCAACTTCCGATTTTACAGTTTAATATGAACTTATTAATAAAATAGATTAATTTTTTTTATCTATCACATCTTGGTCTTAGATACATAAAAAAAAGGTTAAGGGCGATTTTATTACTTTTATAATGTAAATACAGATTAGTATAACTATTTTAAATATCTTATGTAAGTTTAAAATAGTTGTGTAATACGACACATGAATCGAATCTATTGATATGATTCATTCTATTGATGAACTATTGAATGCTATTTAGATCAGTAGAATTTTACTGTCGGATCTAGTCGATATAAACGATGACTAATAACAACACTTCAATCCCGCCCACTGTTAAATAATACGGTTAATAACAGTGCATCTAAATCTAATACGACTGCACTTTTATCGTGTTTGGTATCATCTTAGTCGCAGCTTTGTGTGCTGTTATAGGGGAGAAATATTGGAATCGACCACTTCGTGCTATTTTCACTTGCAAAAAGAATAAGCGTTCGAGCAGACCGTATCGCTTTAAGCGTTGCCTTTTACTTGCATTTTTATTCAGTGCCAATATTGCCTATTTCTTAGCCAATCAACGTGCTGTAATGACTATGGTCATCATTAGTAAAGCAAAAGATATCATAGGCACCATTATCTTACCGATTTACTATGCTTACAAACTAATAACCTGCTGCCAGGCTAAGCGACCAATTCTTGATGGAAGTAACAAGATTATCTTTTCTATCATTCCCGTCTACAATGAAACGTTAGAAGAAATTACATATACAATGGACTCAATTATCTACAACTCTATCAAATGCTAGTGATCATTATTTGTGATGGCCATATACCAAACGTTGATTCTCTTATTGATAGAATGGACATAGTTGTATCAAATCTACAATATTGTTCTTGGAAAGGCACTGATGTTAATTGTGAGATTAGTTAAGGTTACCGTGGAAAAATACCAATAGTTATTCTTAAAAAAGGAAGAAATATGGAAAAAAGAGACCGTCGTATACTAGCTTATGACATATTCATTGCACCCAGGTAAAATGCAGCCCCATCTTTTACTAGTTTTAGAACTTCTATCCTTCAACAGATTCAACGTTCATTTAAAATTGGCGAATATCACTACATGTTCTTCGCTGATGCAGACAGTTTCATTGAAATCGGTTCTCTTACCAGTCTTATCGACGAGTTGGAATATCGCAACGCTGACGGCTCATGTGGACTCGTTATGGTTGATTTTGAAAAACGATTTGGAGGATTCTGGAATGTATACCAAAATTTTCAATGTATATATACGGACAATACATTCGGCGTAAAGCTGAAAACATCATTAAAAAATGAGCTGCCTGCCAGGGTGTATTACTATGGTAAAAGTCGATAGTAGACTCATCAATGTTATAACTGACTATGGCACGATGCCACACACCAAGATGATCTCATTCACACGACTGTTCAGCGATTGGGCACTGACCGTCGTCTGCCGCATCTATTTTTATTTAAAAAATTAAAAACAATGATGGTTGACTCAGCTGTCTGTTATACGAAACCACCTCAAAGTTGGTACAGACTTTTGACACAACGCCGTCGGTGGGGTAGTAACGCTTTCTTTAACATAATCATGAATGTTTACAGGCGTAGTATTCATCCCATCACTAGAATCTCTTCATGTTTCGATCTGATGAAAATGTGGCTGGTGTTCTTTCGCTTATTTAATTAATGCGGGTCTTTTTCTCACTCAACTGGTAACTCATTTTGATTTAAGAGGATTTCTCACACAGACAGGTATTCATTTGTATCCAACATGCTATTTCTTTCTCTTCTCAATCTTCAAAAAGACAGTTCGTTCCAGTCTACATAAGATTCTTATTGGATGTCTGGTTAATCGTTGCATCTCTGGCCTTATTTCAATTGGAATAATGGCTACTGTCTTCTACAATATTGGGAACTTTGCATGGGGTTCTGCGGCACCTGTCGAAATAAAATAAGAACAATCACCAGAGATCTATATCGTTCCAACTAGTGACATTCCTGATGCCGACTTACAGATGTTTATTGCACCATTGGATTCCACAGAAGAATCCATGCCCACTATGTAAAAGCCGTCTTTAAGCTAACACTTATTTTCAGTAAAAAGTCTTTTATTATTATTTTTTATTAAATAAATTAAAATATGAATCGCAGTTATTTGCAAGAATTAAGATGATTACCTGTTTTCAGATACGAATTTCGTCATAGAATAGCAATTAGATGTTTTGCAGTAGACCAAATATTGCCTGTCAGACAGAATAATCCTTTAGAAAAGGCAATGATGACATGACTCTTCAAATTTTAGAGAATTAAGAAAAACGCACTATCAAACAAGAGAGAAAAATCACACTATGCTCAAACTTTCTAGTTACATTATGACCAATTGAAGATTCATACAAGAAATCAAAATGTATTTAGTACATCGGCAAATATAATACTTAGGGGTTTGACTACTTTGTAATGAAGAATATCTCTCAATGAATGAAGCAGATTGTTTCATTTTTACCAGTATGAAATGGAATGTTCAGTTTTACTACATCAAGTGACACAGAACAGTTCATTACATTCATGGAAAGAATGGTACTTTTTCTTTCTAGTTTTTGTTCGATAATCACACTTTAAAATAGTATGATTGAAGGCACGCTTCAAATTTTTCGCTCAGCATCACTTTTTAAAATAATAATTCATATTCGCGAACGAATATCAACTAGAATTAGTAAGCAAAACACTGCTGATAATATCTCGTACATTTTGCTCCTCTAATATTCATTAGATATGATCAATATTGCCAAATAAGAATAAAAAACATGGCAAAGAAGTATATATATATATATACAGATTAACGAGTAACAGATATGATATTTTCCATAATTAAAATTATGTAACACTTTTAAAAGATGGAATATCTAGATAAATGAAATATAAGACAAAAAAGAAATTTATAGCTGAATATTTGAAAAAAATATGAATTTCATTGGCGAAAATATTTATCACGTGAGTCCCTATGATCAGTGATTGTCATTCAGCAGACGTTAGGAGAAAAATTTGAAAAAAAGCACATCTTTTTCAAGATTTATAGCTATTTACAGTATCAATAAACACGATAATAAATATAAATTCATTCGATATATCAATCATTGATTATCAATTTATCAATGTCATATTAAGATTTTCAAGTAAATAAATGTATATGATAGGCATGAAGCATTCGCTGATAAATAGTCTTTGACCTGTGTTTGATAAGTGCGATGTTCTATGTTAGATGATATTTTCCGCCAACTATTTTTTATACTTATTTATATCATAGACAAGATATCTATGCTTACAGAGAAAAAACAAGTATTCTGCTAATATCATTTGCTGAAATATAAATGATTATGACGGTAAGTTTTGAATTTCTCATATTTCATGGATTTTTATGTTTCGATTTATTAATTCAGTGGTTATATTTTCTTCTTATATTAACTTTCACTGCATCTACAATATCAGATTCGAATGAATTTCAAAGTGAGTATATTTGTGATGGATAATTTTTCTCCTATCTTCTCTCATTCTTCCAGTCAAATCAAATGAAGCTTTGCAATTTCTTCTTCGTGCTCGGCGTACTTTGTTTCATCCGGGCAAAACAAAATGTGAAGAGCAAAAACGTGAAGCTAGTAAAGCTTATGAAGAAAAGTGTACAGTATTAGGTAAACGTTTTTGCCCAAAATTAAGTGCATGGAAAGAATTTCAACAATGGGAAATTGGTGGTGGTTATGAAAGTAAACGGAATCCATTGCCAACACAACCGCCAGCGCCACACATAAACACAATGCGTACACATCAAACACGTCTGTATACACCAGCAACATTGCGTACATATAAAACACCAATGTATGGACCAGTAACAAATCGACCGAAGGATCGCATGCCTAATCATAGAAATGACTTTGCAATACCTGATCCCAATGAAGATTAAAATTTTTATAATTAACATTATTTAGTTAGCAATAATAACACATAAAAAAAACGTTTCTTTTATTATGTCAATAAATTATCACTGCATTTTACTTATAATCATATTGGCAAAGTTATTTTTTTCATTTCGTAATCACTGGAATTTTTCAACCGCTTGCTCTTATTTTATTATACAGGGACGAGAAGTTAACTATTCAAATTTTCATATGAAATTATCATTCAACACAACTTTGTCTTTTTATTAATTTGATTTGTTTAGTCTTGAAAATCTTTATTTGAATGAATATGAGTAAAAATTTGATTTATGCATACATAGGAATATTTTAGTTTAACAGTATGGCGTAATTGGCATTTGTATGAAAAATGATCGATTCATATCGTAAATGAACACCAACCAGTGGTATCATCGCTGTTAACTCTATTATTTTTTTCTTCATGAGGATAGAATAATCGGCGAGTCTCATATGTGTTACTATCATGATCGATATGAAATTGAGTGAATGCTGACTAATTATATTCAATTGACGTTAAAAATACAGTAGAATCAAGAATTAATTTTCTATTCGAAACTAATATAAAGTTAAGAAAAGATTCATTCATATTCTAACTCTCATAAATTTCTTGATTATTAATCACCATTAATCAGATCCTTCAAGTATATTGAAATAGACGATGTAGAACAGTTTTTAAAGTTCAGAATTAATAAACAAAATTATTATATCAGATTTTAGTCAAACAAAGAAATTGTGAAAATCACTAACTCTATAAACAAAACAAATGAGTAGCATTTAGATATTTAAACGATAAATGTATGTTCTATAGTTAGTCAACGTTGAAAAAATAGTGAGATATCAATCATTTAAATGGTATTTAGATAGTATTTCTCTTTGATTGAATAAGATGATGATTATGAAAATTTCTGGTTATTGAATCGATAGCCGGGCTGTAATTGCCTGAAAATTCTCTCAGTTCAACAAGGTAAATATTAGTTGATTTTAAAATTCTCTATATCAATATCTAATACACTATTCCCTAATATTATCATAATAAAATCAATTTAAAACACGAATACAAGTTTCGGCACATACGAATATTAAAAATGTTGCAATATTTGTGACTTTCATAATACACAAACAATTAGCAACTGTAGTTAAAAATACATATGTTACCCAATGGAATACTAGTGTAAAATTTTAAGTATTCATAGCATTAGCAGTGATATAAATCTTGCTAGATAATGCTGAATGAAAACTAACTAGAGATGCACTTTCAAACATATCATTAAGACCGGTGAAGGCCGGTAAATTGATGAAGAACCTACGGTGATGACTGTTTTTTTATTTCATTCAGACGGCACTCTATTAAGACAACCCAGCAATGCTAATATACCGGCCTTCATCGTAGGTTTTTCGTATTTTTACCGCCTTCACCATTTTCTCACCGTTGCATCCCTAAAAATAGTTCTAGATTTGACTGCTATTTTCAATAATCAACTAAGAATATTTTAAATTATATTTAGAGCAAATTCAACCGATGGTTTTACAGTTTAATTATAGATACAATAAAGTATGTTTAAAATAGAAATATAATTTAAAAGATGAAGAATATCGGTAATTACCACATGATAAAGCATATAAATGTATGCATGTGGTCTTATGCACATCGTATATCTACATGCATTATGCATTATGCATACTTCATGATGGCTATCATTATCCTTGACACGTATCTACCGAGAAATAACGATAGACGGTAGTTTTGCGATTAGAAATGTGTAAAAATGATGCATTAAATCATATTCATTCTATTCTAACTTGTGTCACTCACATCTATTTTTGGGCACATATTATTATGCTTCTATCACGAATGATAAGTGGTCTTTCATTCGTTTCGATTTTTTCTATTTATTATCTAAGATAAATTTGTTTCAAAAATATATTCTTGTTTTCAATAGTTTTCTCAAAGATAAAGCAATCGAAAACGATCTTTTCTGTTTGATCTAAAGAAAAGTTTTTGACGACACATCTGTTGAATCATTAATCCAACGTTGTGTAAACTTTATGAAATGTTCATATAGCCATAACAAGTATCTGTAATGAAATGAAACTTGATTATTTTTCTAGTCAAATAGATCTATAATCTCTTTTATTCTCCTCGGTACTAATATAACAACATAAAACGCGAAAACAACGCGGAAAGAAATTTTAAACTTCGGTTTATTAACTTTTTGAGGGCAATGGCGGAGTATCACCGGTTAAATGCTGTCGATGTAATTCTTCGCATTTTGATTTTAGTTTTGCAAATTCATTTTGAATAATATCCGTTATCGCTTTACGCATTTCTTGCTAGAAAAACAAATAAGAAATACATTAAAATGAAGCAAATTTTTCATTCATACCAACGATCGATTTTCTTTTTTCATTTTTTCTACAAGATCATCAAAAGTGAGCGGTTCACCAATATAAATACTGACTTTTTGACCTATTTTAGGAGTATACGGCTCTACATTTGGTAATACAGAATCCATTCCTAATATATAATAATAAATATATACGAATATTCTTCAAATGTATCTTTCTTACCAAGATGATAGAATGGAACTACTAACGGACAAACATTAGCTTCAGCAATAAGACGACCAACACCTATAAATTTTCTCTTTTATTTGAATATACTTTCTATATTAACTTACCCCATTTAAGTCTGATTAGTTCTTTTGTTAAATTTATTTTGGCTAAAAAATGAATTTTAAGAGTAAACAATGTAGATCTATAAAAAGAGAAATACCTTCAGGAAATATATGTATCCATTCACCTTGGTTGATTTGTTCTAATGCAAAAGTCATCGACCGTTGATAAACACCATCACCGCGTATTATAGGTATTGTTTTACCCAAACTGAAGAAACATCGATGACTCCTTTTTGTAAATACAACATCAGCAGCACCTAATGTCCAACGCATGCGTTGACGATTCAAAAAAGCTCGATATGGTGCAGAAGCTCCTAAAATAGCAATACAAAATTGATTAATAATAAAAATAATAATAATAAAGAGAAACTTGTAAATAATGAAGAATCATTAAAAAGAGCTGATAGAGAGAAGGAAAAAGGCTACCATTTATGTACCGAACAACAATGGTTCGTCCAAACCTATTTATAAAATTTTATGGGTTAATCAAAATACTAATCATACAAAAAACGATCTTACAAGAATGATGATTAGCGGCAGTAAGTAATGCTCGCTTAGGATCTCGATGAAGCACAGCTTTGCGAAGAATATCAGCTTTCATAAAAATAAAATTTAATAAAATTTAAATATATACTAATTTTTACCATTCTCAATTCGAACTGATGTAAGATATTCTACAAATAAAAAGATAATTTCTTTCTTCCTTTTTGTTGCTCGTATGATGCTTCAAAACTTACTCATCCATAGTTTACTGACTGTCCCCACAAGCGCAATCGTTGCTGTCGACAATGCTCTATAATATCTAGTAGGATTTTCTGGAATTGACCAATCAAATGAGAGGGGCATTATCTAAAAGAGTATCATGTATCCTTCTTTTATTATCATCCCATGAGCTTTTATTAATTAGCAAGGTTAAAATCTTTATTTAATTCATTTTTTTTCTTTGTTTGTCACATAGCAAATGTATTGTATCCAAAAAAGAAAAAAGCACAAAAGAAAAGAATACAGCTACAATATCACTACATAGCAAAAACAAACGCAAACAGTTAGGAATGACACCAAGTATATCATCTGATTCATTTAATTCAATAGGATGTTTTTTTTTAATTTTCACTACAACATCACTCATCTATATTGAAAGACACAACACATTAACATTAAAATCTAATTTTCTATATAAGTCTGTTTTTGATTGAACGATATTTGCTTTACAGCTCTTTGTCGACAGTACCAGTTTCTTTAACTGTTTTGAATGAAAGAAGAATATTGGCACGATTTTGTAATTCTACTCGTTTTTCAGTGGTGATCTAAAGTAAAATACAATAGTAATTGAAATATGAAGATCATTTAGTAAGTAAAAATTTTATCATTTCATTTATATAAAACATCCATAGGTTAATTTTTCTAGAACATATATGCCAAGCATGTTAATACATTCGTTGAATAAATAATTTCCATATGGACATACAGAAATTGAATAATTAACAAGATTTCTCAAAACACTCGTCTAGTATTTATTATTTATTAAATTTGAATTCTATAATTACCTTTCCTTTTAATAAATTTTGTACACGTCGTTCTTCACGTTTAAAAAATTCTACTCCTTGTTTCACTGCTGCTTCCATTATTTTAATATAAGATTCACCACTATAACAAGAGAAATAATCAAAACTTCTATAAAAAAAATTAACTGATAAAAATGTTTTGTACCTCTTTTGTTCTTTTTTATCAGTTAAACCTTGAACTACTTCTCGTGCTTTTTCAACTAAAGAGTTTTGAGTTTTTGCATCATTTGCAGATGATGCATCGAAGAATTCTCGAGATATACGATCTAAACTTTCAAGTGTACCAGATAAACCAAACCAAAGATCTAAAGATAGTTGTGTTCGTTAGTTTTTTTTTAAATATTCAATCAGATGCTATTAATTATTACCTGTATTTTGTGAAAGAAAACGCTTAAGATCTTCTTCAGTGCTATCACCAGTATAATCAATTGGTTTAGATTTTCCTTTAATAAATAATTTATATGCAGGAAAATCAGCTTTAGTTACACTATATTCCTTAGCCAATTGTTCATTTTCTTTTTCACCATAATCTGTTATTGGAATTTCAACTACAAGAAGATTTTTCGCATTGGCTACATTTTCAGCAAATTTCTTAAATTGATCATGTTTATCACCATGAGCTGAAAGAAAGTAAGTAAACGTATTTGAATTGAACAGAAATTTACCTCACAAAATACATACGATATTTATCATCAAATTTTGCTAAAACAACGTCAAAATTACGTAGTATTTTGTCGAATGTGAGTGAATCGACAGTAACTGTTCCTGGTGTATGAGCTTTACTTGATATGACAAGTACAGAAACAACAGCACAAAATGAATAGAGAAATTTCATCGTGTTAAAAACTCAATAAGAAAAAAACGCAATAGGAAACTTTAAATTGGCGACAATAAAATACTGTCACTAACGAAGAAAAAAAAGACGTACATGTATATATATATATATATTATAATACGTTACTTGTTTTGTATGAGCAGGAGAAGAAAAGTAACCAATGAGAGATTGACGCGCCGATATACCATCGATAGTAGTGACATCAAATACCTTTTTATTTAGAAAATTCCGGAACAAAAAAACAAAAGACTCCAAACGTATGTGGACATCCGTCTTAATATATTCATCATCCTTGATTGGTTGACACGAAAGAATCGGCAAAGTTTAATGAGCGAAAAAAAAGCGAATAAAATAAAATATCAAGAAGCTTAATTCAGTAAATAACGATGTATTGCTTTTTCTGATCAGCAAAAATAATATTAAAGAGAAATTTAGTTACATAAATCATTAAAAAAAACAGAAAAGCTGGAATAGTTATAAAACAAACACAAAAGTATAACAAAACCGCTAACAGTGCCTGATATAAAGCGTATAGAGATCAATACACAAACGGAAAGTTCGCTTTTTTCCTAAGGAACAACAAAACAAAATCCGACTTGAATGTATATTATAAACGATGAGATATCATCTTCGACCAATTTATAAGTCTAACTTCTTATTAGCATCCTTAAGGAGTTCTCCTGCTTTTCTTTACCAGCTTCATATACGTGTCCGGCATATTTTTCTGTTTGTTCAAGTGCTTCTTCACCATATTTGTGACCGATTTTAACAGCCTTGATTGCAAATTTCTTTCCAGCTATAACAAAGAAAATCTATAATTTGTTTTCTTTGATTTCAATCGACAAACCTGCAATAGATTCTGGAACTTTTTCTTGCCAACCTTTCACTCGCTTGAGTTGCATGTTCACCAGTAGTTTTTACAGCGTCAACAGCAAATTGTTTTGCACCTAAAAATTCAGAAAAAGCTTATTCGTCTTCTAAATTTTGCTTGTTTTTTCAACAGTTACTAGCAATTGTTTCCGTAGCATCTTCATCAAGATTTTCCTTAGCGATTTCTTTGAAAACTTTGCTTTGTTTAAGTAGTTCATCAGCATATTCTCTAAAACATGAGAAACTCCCGATTGAATATGAAAGAGAAAACAACAAAACAAAAACTTACGTAGCATATTCCTTCACGGTTTCTGTACCTTGTGCTAAATATTCACTACCTGTTTCAGCAGCTGTATCAACTTTTTCACCGAAGATTTCAGCATATTCTGAACCGACTTTGGCTGCTTTAGTGACTTTTTGTTTTAGAATATCAGCTGCTCCGAGAATTTCTCCCTAAAGAAAAATATCACTAATGGCGATACCTTTGAAATAATGATATGCACTTTAACGATTTCAGCACCTAAAAAACAATAATTTAATTTGTTTCATAAAAAGCAAATTGAGGTTTCATACCGTTTACACCTGTTGAAACAACATATTCCTTAAATGCCTCCTGTGCTATTTCAATACCAACTTTAGCAGCAGGAATAACGTATTCATTGAAAATTTCTTGATCTTTTTCGGTACCAGCAACTGTATATTCTTTCGCTACTTTAGCAGCACTAGCTACTACATCTTGACTAACTTTAGCTGCAGATACTGCAACATCGACAACATAATCACCTAACAAGAAAAAAACGATTAGTTACACCAAATAGTGTACGCTAATAACTACTTTTCTAATTTATTAATTAGATAAAATATCTGATTGACCTTTAAACTGAACCTTGTAATTATATACAAGATGAAAATTATTTTTAGAAAAAGTCTGTTATGCCTCTTTCTAATTAAAAAAAAAAGATTTCCTAGCAAACCGGCAGTTTTAGTAGTATCCGTTGCTAATTTTGCTCCAGATTTTGCACTAGTAGATACTGTATCAATAACAGTATCTTTAATTGTTTTTTGCCTACTGTATGCTGTTGAAATGTAACATACGAAAACAATCAATAATAAAATTTTACCTGAAATTTTCATTATTGTCTTTTGGGATTACTCGATTGTATTAGTTCTGAAAATAGAAAAAACATTCTCCAATCGATTTTCTTCTAATTGTGGAAGACAAAACAAGCTATCTGTAGACAACGAAACGAACTACGAAATGAAAACAATATTAACACTACTTTATGTAAATCACTACTTTTTCGTATCATTGCCACCCTATGGATATGATCACTTATTGCAAACAAATTTATCTACAATGTAATGAACTTTATCACACACACATATATATGTTGTAGGCAAAATTGGAATCCAGGCAGATTCTAAATCTGCCCGGGCAGAATTAGAATTCCAGTTTTGACTAGTGATTTGTTAGTCAAAGTTGGAATTCTAATTCTGCCTGGATTCCAATTTTGTCTACAACATATACATACATACAAACATAGTCGACATGTTTAACGCTGTGCAATTGAAAGAAGCAGCTATTGAAATTGAAGTCACATCTCCTGAGATTTGTGGTATAGGTTCAAAACGATATTAGATCATCCATAAAAGACATTCAGGTAAAAATCGCATTCTTCAATGCTCTTTCGTTCATTCTTCTGAACGTCCAGTATAAAAAACAACTTTTCTGAAAGCACCTACTTGTTCAAACATATTGCTTCTTTTTTATTAAATAAATATAGGATATCTAGTAAGTCCTTAGGCAAAGAAAAAAAACTGACTATTTTCAGCAGGCTTCAATGGAATGAGCTGATATTTTTTCTCAAAGTAGAAGACAGCTTTTAGTTTTTATTCACGGATGAATAGTACATTCATGCACATAAAACTAGCACATCTACATCACTAGACAATTTTGATAAAGATTTATTTGCTATGTGTAAATAATTTTGCTGTTATGATTTTATGTTAACAACTGAATTACACGCTACATTTAATCATTGTTTCATTTTATGTCTTTTTTCTTTTAAAACACAAAAAAAAACATATTATATATATATATATATATGTGTGTGTGTGTGTGTGTGTGTGTGTATGTATGTATGTTGAGGCGAACATAAAAAAAGACACGAACAAATACACAAGTGATACAAAAGATGATCTACGTAATCATACGGTGCATAACATCGTGCATTTCATTTATCATTCTGAAGTATGTTTGTAGTTCGCACTATTAAAGAAAGAGTCGAAATGATGCGACTTTTTTCAAAGTTCGCAAATGCACACGAAGTTCATCGGCAATGGAGCTATCATTTTGATACGACACCGCTGCATAAAACCAGAATTTTTTCGTAAACCGAAAAAGTTGATGACAATGAATCAGCTGACGATATACCAGGCGGAGGTCGGCCATCAAATGTACTTTCAGAAGAGAAACTAGAAGAGATTGAAAAGATGGTCATTAATAGTCCACGATGATCTATTGGTCAAGATGCTGCTCGTGCTGGTACAAGCAAAACCAGTTCTCAAGTAGCTATGAAGCAATTTCACTTTCAATCATATCGTCCAACTTTAATAGTAGGCCTTAATGAAGATGATTTCGATCATGCCAGTAAATTCTGTAAGATAAGGCCTGGAAAATTTGAGACTGATTCTGATTTAATTGATTGTATATTCTGAAGCGAGGAAAACAAATTCAGTATGAATACAACAGCTAGGTGACATAACTATTTTGATGATTTGCTAAAATGAGAAGATGTTAAAATCAAAATTACAAAAAAGCCACAGTTTTCTAT